GGAATGTGTGCTGCTGTTATCAGTACCAAGACATCAAGCTGACACACGCTGTCACCGCGCAGCACTCATAACAGCATACAGTTGTATTTATCTGTTTGCCTCTTGAATTCGTGTCTTTTATCTGTAATTGTACAGGCAATATTTTACAGGGGTCATATGGAATATAGACGAGTCAAAGGCACAAACAAACTCAAGCACCTGCTCGAGGCACCGCGACCATTAGGGGGCACCAACGAGGAATTATTCTTACTTGCATGCGCAAGTAGTAATACACGGGCTGGATGGTGACAGTGAACTCAACTAAACTGAGTCGATTTAGTACACAACAAGCAGCACTTTGTCAGATAGAAAGATTGCTTGGAGTATACGAGTGTTTTGATTTAAGGGATGGTCAGGGGAAAACTCAATTTCAAGGCACCGCTGTGGTGATATACCAATTATTTTAAACCAGTATTCACACTCACGCCGAAGGGCAATCTAAAGTTTTTAATCAACCTGAAATGCAGATTTTCAAGTCAGGCCAGAGCCAAGATTCGCACCCATAACTTCTCAACTTTGAGGCAGACTTGCTGACCATTAGTCCACTAGTGGTGCTACACTGATTAAAAAAATGCATCTGAAAATTACGTGACACTTTCAACCAAAGTCCCGGAATGTTCCAATTTCTTATTTTACAATATCCTTTTATGAGCTTATGATAATGTGGTGGACTCTAGACCCCAGAACCCGTGAATGGCTGATGTGGATTACGGGTCAGCACTGCAGAGCATCAGCTATTGGATAACGGCAGCTTATCAGTTGAGTCACTGAGCCCTTGGCGGCTTTATAAGGGTCTGCAGGGGACAAATCAAGAGCGGAGCTAAGGAGGCTAAATAAGGAAGGAGTTGAATTGCTTTCTGCCTTCAGAGGAGCTCGCTGAAGGGCAACCATGCGTCTCGTAGGCTCCGCTGTCCTGTTCAGTGTCCTGCTGCAGGCTTTGGTAAGATTTCAGCGTGTTAGTCTGCGACTGGATGGCATGGAAGCACATCTGATGCAAGAATGTCGATAGACAGATTGTGTCGGCGTGCAAATTTTTTTTACAGATGAGAGCAGAGTCATAAGTGATCATCTTTACCGATGTGTTGCACGAATGCATTTAGTTTACTCCATTTTTATGTATTCAGTCCATTCATTTTTTTTCCCCATATCAATTCTTGTTTGCCCTGATTTTATTTTGGATCAAATGTTTACATATCTATTTTAGACATGCATATTGATTGTATTTTTTTTTTAATTTAAGATCTCAATATCTTTAATTACTTTATATATACACACACACATACACACACACACACATTTGTTTTTACATATAAATTACAGTGGTTAACTATTTTTAATTAATAATGTGTGTATTTTTTTGTGTATTTAACTTTATTCTTAATTTTTGTCATCTTAAATAAGACATTGTCAATATAGTGTTTTTTATCAGGGTGCTCCCACGATGAACGTGTCTTTCTGTCATTCTCCAGGGAGCCCCAACAGAGGACTGGAGCTCGGCCACATCCATCTATGATTTCTCAGCCACCGACATTGATGGCAATGTGGTCTCTCTCGAAAAATACAGGTGAGCCTTTATTTCCGTGTGTGGCGTGAATCAGCCAAACTGTGACTGAGAACATACTTTTTTAGGGGCAACGTGGTCATCATCACCAACGTAGCGTCCAAATGAGGTAAAACGCCCGTAAACTACTCTCAGTTTGCCGAGATGCACGCCAAATATGCTGAGAGAGGTTTACGCATCCTCGCCTTCCCTTCCAACCAGTTTGCCAACCAGGTACGTTCCATTTGCTCTTGCTGCGCTGTGGTCAATTATCAACTGTGTCATTTCATTCATGAACATATTTACGATAGAACCCACCTTGTGAGGGTTGGTAGCTAGCTGCCATATTGGATGTGGCAGATCTTTCGGTAACAGGTCCTGTTCTGTGATATAAAAGAGAGGCTCTGTATACATTGGATATTAAAAAGTCTACACACCCCTGTTCAAATGGCTTTTTTTGGGGGTGGGGGGGGTGATACCATAAAATTCAATTCAATTCAAAATGAAACCAAGGTAAATCATTATCATGATTAATGTGGCCCATAGACCTCAATCAGCCAAAATTGCTCAGTCGGAAACTGCAAAACGGTTGCTGAATGTCCAAGCAGGAAATGAAAGAGGCATCTCACCGGTTGCTTCATTTTGCCACATCCAATATGGTGGTGATGTATGATTCAGCGCTCGGGGTGGTGGGGGGGGTGCATCCAGTCTATGTCCTATATGTCGATGATGTCACCCATATGCATTTTGCTGGGGGGGGGGTGCATCCAGTCTATGTCCTATACGTCGATGATGTCACCCATATACATTTTGTTTTGTCGACTGAAAGGAGCCGGGGACCAATGCCGAAATCAAGCAGTTTGCGCAGTCGTACAACGTCCACTTCGACATGTTCGGCAAGATCGACGTCAACGGGCCCGACGCTCACCCGCTGTGGAAGTGGCTGAAGGAGCAGCCCAACGGGAGAGGCTTCCTGGGAAAGTAAGACTCATTTCCATCACCTACTCCAATGTTGCCGTCCTGTTGTTACATCACATTTGTTTTCTTTTGTTTCTTTTTATCCTCGCAGTGGCATCAAGTGGAATTTCACAAAGGTAAAAACGCATCGATGCGCTGGTTCTAATATTTTGGCTACCAACAAAATAAAATGATTTCCAGCTTGTTTAAATTTCAAGAACGCACTTAGCTGGAGTCTTACAAGATTTACTGATGTCTTTTTAGTGACTTTTGTGGTACGTTTTCCCAGAAAAGGCTAAATTGTACCACTTTCAGGGGTGTTTAGCTTCTGAGGTTTTGCTGTGTTAGAAAATGGAAAAAGATTGAAATGCATTAAAAAAATAAAGCAATTTTTTATTTCTTCTTTTCTCTGTAGTTTCTGATCAATAAAGAGGGTCAGGTGGTGAAGCGATACGGACCCATGGATGATCCAAGCGTATGTACATCAAAGGCTTCAGTGTAGGGCTGGGTGATGAATAGGTTTGATTGATTCATTTGACTATTCCAGATTTTTTGCAAAGAATAAAATACAAGAATTAAAATCAATATTGGGGGGGTTAAAAAAAAACATTAAATAGATTTCTTCGTTGTTAAAAAAAAAGAAAAATAGCTGAATTTTTTTTGAAAAAGTAGTTTGAAGAAACATTTTTGAAAAACATATTTGAGGGGAAATCCGTTTATTTTGGAGAAAACCTTATTTTTTTTTTTTTTTACCCATGTTTAAAAAAAAGTTAACGTTTTATTTTCTGGAGGAGCATGTTTTTTTGGGTTTTTTTTTCCAGCTACCATACTAAAAAGTGTGTCTTCACTGATGTGCACAGCTTAAAGCAGAAAGGATCTAGTTAAAAAAAAAAAAAAAAAGCACAGCCAGTGTTGCTTTGTGACTTTTCCGACCCCTCTAGCAAATATATTTCAAAAAGCAATTTGCGACTTCAATTCCCTCTAAGAAACAGACAATCCATTCATGTTTGCGTATATCAAGGACAGGGTTCGATGGAGGGCATTCACAGAGTTTGTTATTATTATCATTATTATTATTATTATTAAGAAATCTGATTTTGGTGGATTTTGTTTGAAGGCCAGATCACCCAGCCCTACATCAGTGTGAAGCTTTGTTTCCTTGCATTCTATGTGTACTTGTTACTGTGAACACTCTCATTGGATGTGGTCACGTTTTGTGCAGGTGGTGGAGCAGGATCTTCCTCCGTATCTGAACGCCTAGATGACCAACACCTCACTATCTCGCCGTTGTCTCATTTCCTTCTGTATTCTTCCCTCTCTCCGAGCACACTTAAACACAAGTGTCTTCACTAGTACTGTCATTCAAGTGTAAAGAGAAGTTAACAACTTTAATAAAACTAAACAAGAACTACTGCTCATTTGATGTGAATAACAGACAATAAAAACGTGCCGTTCCTTGGAAAGTGTCTCTGGCAATTGGTTGCCGCTTGGAAAATTGGGTATGTAATTAATATTTGTTTAGTTGTATGGCTCATGTTTTCCTGAGAAGCCACGCGCTTTCCTATGTCCGCTTCTATGGTTATCGTCACACTTTTGCTCATTGGTACCCTTATCTATAGTGCTGATTTAAAAAAACAAATAAAATAGTTGTCATTTTTAGGAATGACATTTTAAAAAACAGAGTAAAAATATGTGATCTGCAATATTACTGCTTTGTCTTACAGGCTATGCTGTTCATCCACATTAATAGTTGAGAAAAATCAAATGCAAAAAATAGATACAATAGCTTTACTTTTCAAATTATTTTATCTAGTCTTGTTTTCGCAAAATTCTTACATGAAATGTCTCCCTGTATTCATTCTGCTTCTTATTGATTTGCTCCTCATTACAAGTTTAATCGATTCCATGTCATTGCAATTTCACGCTGTTCAGTTTCATGATTTTCCCATTAAAAAAAAAAAAAGTCTATTTAATCCGGAATGTACTGCAGTACTCTCAAATCTTGTTCAGATCATCGCATCCTTTTGATTCTGTCCTTGTCTTATGTCAACAACCCTGCCAAAGTTGCTTAAAAAAAAAAAAACCCTGAAAAATCAAGCTCAAGCCGTCGTCACTGCTCTCAAATGCTGTAAGCGTCTCCACTGACTGTATGAAACCACGCCCCGATGAACAATGGATGCTTCAGCTAGCATTCGCTCTTCTGCCTACACATCACTACATGTTTGAGCTGCCAAAATATATTAACTTGAAGCCACTGGTGACAGGAATACATACTACCGGGCATTACCACCAACGGCGAGAGCTGCTAGCCACCAGCTAGCTCTTGAGCTAACGGGCTTTTCCGGGGCTCCTCTCTCACCCCAGCACTTGGAAATTTTCTAAACGACATTGAGCTGTTCTAGAAATTGAGGCATCCAGGAAACTGCGTGCTATTCTGAAGCCTTATCATAATACTTTTGTATCTCGCAATTGCGCTGGATAACCACTGATGCGGCTGAAGGCACTCATGTTTAATAGGAGAATGGGGACTCATACGTGACAACCGAGTACGTCACTCAGCGCTGTTTTAGCCACCCCCCAAAAATCTACTCAACCGAAACGGTAAAAAAACAGTTAAACGCTTTATCTCCGCAATTCAGCAAGTATCTTCAAAAATACATGACGTATTTAGAAACAAATCTCTTGAAGTACAAAAGCAAAGTATTTGTTGTACTTTACTTAGTTACCTTCCACCTTTCGCCTTGGTTCAGTCAAGCTTGATAAACTGCTTGCGAGCCCCAGTTTCTTCATCAGCCGCCAGAGGGCGTCACCGAGCTCAAGACCACTGAGCCGTTTATTGGGTTGAGTCGCTGCAGACTGACCGAGCAGCAGTGCAGTGCAGCCGGGCAGACGGTAGCCACGGAGCCGCTGTTCGAGCAAATGAAGCCAACATGTCTCCTCTAGTGATTATTCGCAACGTATAAAGCTTGTCGGTGCTGATTTTACCAATTTTGTGACGGTACGCGTCGTCGCTTACCCGTTTATCCTTCCCTCCCCCCTCTACCGCCTCTTGGAACAGCACCTCCCGGAGGCTGAATGGAAGCCGAGGGAGCGGTCGGGCTGTCGGAGGCCAGGGACGGCAGCCCTCTTTCCGGGGCCGCATCATCTGATGATGCTGACACGGTCGTCGGGGTTAGCTACGGAATGGATGCCGGAGACATGGGTAGGTTGGACCTATATATGTTTTGAACGTATTCCGTTCCTGCTTTTCCGTGTGTCTCGTTAACGCTTATTCCCCTTGTTTTTTTTTTTTTAATCGGATTCTGTGAGGAATTTTCAGCAGAAAGCCCCGACTCATCTTTAGCCGCTTAGCCGTGCTTGTAGCTGCTAGCTTAGCCGAGCGGATGAGGAGAGAGCAGGTGAAGCAAGCGTTTGGATTCTTGTCATTTGGAGCGCATAACAACGTCTTACGTTGGTAGCGCAATCAACCCAGACGTGTCAATGGATGCCTGAGGTTATTTGACAAGGTGGCTTTACGTAAACGAGTCGGAAGAACTTAGAGGGTAAAGTAGAGGGGAAATCTGAGCTCCTTCAACCAAAGTGGGAGACATACTGCAGTGTACAGGTTGGGCCAAAAGTAGGCATACCCTACACTTTAAAAAAAAGCATCATTTCATGAAACGTATAGGTTTCTTGTCTTTCTATCTTGCTTCGTTCCGTCCTTACTCTTTGAACACCTTCCCACCAAGCCTTATAGTTTTTTTTTCTTGCATCCTTACTTCCACACATCCTGAGCTGAAATCCACTTTTCGTTCATGCCTCCTGGCCTTTCTTTCCTACTTCTTTGATGCCCCCCCCCCGCTGGCATTTTTGCCTTCCCTCCTTCCTTTTTCCCTTCCATCCCTTTTGGTGTCCGTCCCTGACGGTTTCCTCCTGGTCTTCCGCCGTCTCAGTTGGAAGGACGGCCTGGCCCTGTGCGCCCTCATCCACAGACACAGACCCGACCTCATCGACTACTCCAAACTGAGAAAGGTGCCTCCTTCCTTCCTTCCTTCCAACACTGGACCTTCCTTCCTTCCTTCCTTCCTTCCCTCCTTCCTTCCTTCCTTTCTTCCTTCCTTCCTTCCTTCCTTCCTTTCTTCCTTCCTTCCTTCCTTCCTTCCTTCCTTCCTACCTGTCGGGTCAACTTGGGCCCATTTCGTGTCTGTGCCGTATGTACACAACAGCAACATGGGAAAAAGCAGTGTGAACGGGTCCTGACACTCACTCTTGCATCCATGCACCAATTTTACTTCTTTTTGTCCATCCATTCATCCATTTTCCAAACCGCTTATTCTCACTCTGGTGTAGTAACGATAGGAAAAGTGCCAGGTTGACTTTGTCCTTTGTTCCAGGTTGGTGCCGCCGATACAGAATTATAGAATCTCTGATCTAAAATATTTGTTGATGTTTTGGACATATTTTAAAATTTCAGCTTGAAAGGTTCAATACAGGAGCAGTAAGCAATGATCGCAGTTCTCATCCACTGACACGAGTGCGCTGAGTAGAATTGAGTTTAAATGTCAGCTGCAGAGGCCCGGAGAGCTCTATTGAGCTTGCTTAATGTCACATCTTGTACGATGTAATTGTAGGCTGCGGTGTTGAGCTCAGCCGCCCCCACTGTGAGAATTTTGGTGGTTACATGTGTACGTGTGTGTGTTTGGAACAGCTGCTGGCTTTCATCATAACTTCATTTTCACATTCGAGTGTAAAAACCAATGAACCACTGGTGAATGTTCAAACTAAAATAAAGCTACTCAGTATTCGCCGTTTAAAGATGCCCAACAGGCTGATAATGAGAGGAAGGTTCGTAAAATTAACGATTTAATGAATTAAAATCAATATGATTCAACAACAAGTAGCAGTTTGTATGAACCACTGGTGAATGTTCAAACTAAAATAAAGCTACTCCGCATTCGCCGTTTAAAGATGCCCAACAGGCCGATAATGAGAGGAAGGTTTGGTGAAATTAATGTGTTATCAATATGATTCAACAACAAGTAGCAGTTTGCCAGATAGTGAACAATTTTCGTAAAAAGTCCATTTGCTTGCTTCAAGCGATTTATTTATTCCCTCCCAGTTGAAATTTTCTCTGAAATTTAAACATAAATGAAAGAGAAGTGCAATTTGTATCTTTAAATAAAGCACATTAACTTTGTCTTCCTGAAGTCCTCTCGCTTAATGCAAGCACACAATGTGAAACTCAGTCGACTGGCGAACAAAATTCTCATCAATGTGACAGTGATGAATAACATAGAACAAGGGCAGCAAAATATTGGCAAACAATGACGTTGCTGTTGTAATCCTGCGATAGAAAGTCTATATATCGAATATCTATCTATCTATATAATGTCTATAAAAAAATTTAATCTCCTGAAACAACGCTCTCCTTCACTTCCTCCTGTCCATGTTAAGTGTGGTACACACCATGTCATCAACAAGCACAGTGACATCTTGTCACCCTTTAAATATGATAAATGACAGATGACCAGTTCGAAGACAGCTGCGATGCGTCTGACAGACCGGCCACTAACGTTTTCGTCCACTCGCGGTTCGTCAACGCCTCGTCGCACTTTCGCCATCAAAGAAGGATATTTAGCTTGTCACCCCCACGAGTTGTGGGGGGGGGGGATAATGGAGTGCCAATTAATTCATTTTGTAGTTATCTTTGCTGACAGCAACAACGTTGCCGTTAAGAATTGAAATGCAGTCAAACGTGTACCGTACTTAACTGTTCATTTTGTTTGCGTATAACCCCGCTAACACCGTGAAAACAAACATCCCCTACTTCTTAGAGGCGAGCTAATGACGTGCTTGATTAAATCCTTGCTCCTTTGCCTTTTTTTTTTCCCCCCCTCCCGCTCTAGGGTGCGAGGCCTGTCAGAATTGCTGACAGAAGCACAAAATCGGCAGCTCCATCTGCTCTGCCCTGATGTGTCCTTTTTACTATTGCATGCACCACCCCCCCCCCCCTCCCCCCTCCCCCCCATCCCTCCCGAACTCACTCCCGGATTGTATAAGTAACATTTGGAGCATCAGCTGGGATGTTTGACGTCATGTGGACGATGACGCCGTTTACTTCACGTCATGATTTTGACTGTGTGTGTGTGTGTGTGTGTGTGTGTGTGTCTGTGTGTGCCAGAAACTCTGATCACGTTCGAATGGGATACAAATAAGTATGCTCAGCATCAGTCCACTGCCGCTAAGGTGGGTTTTAACCCCAAACGTCAATATTAGCAAGAGCATGCGTCGCTACCAGGATGATGTTATGGATGTGCTCACACGACACTCAGGAGTCATTCAGTGGGAGGCACGGAATTGAACAGATTCAAATATTGACTGAACCGGCATGTCTTTGGTTTAGCTTGTGGCAGTTAGCCTTCATTCTCTGTATTTGCTGCCTTGTTTTGTTTTCGACATGTGATTAGCGGCCTGTGTTCTTTTCACCGCGTGAGCAAGGATTATGTACTGGAGTGGTGCCTTTCATGTCCACTTGGCTTCCCGCCAAGTTTTAGTCTGGTCCAAGGAGTGATTTAAGTTGAAATGGCAGTTTTGCTTCATTTTGTGTTCGGTCGCACTGCTGTAGTCGCTTATCACTTGCAAACAGGCCCAACCACGTGGCACACGGTCATTGTTTACGAACCATCAACTGATTCGGACCCGAGAAATCCAACTGTGTGGGCCGTTGTGATTATTCGAATAATTCAAATAATTCTATCACAAATAAAGATCGCAGCAAAAAGTGCAGTCACATGCACCACTCTGTGTCGACAAGAAAGAGTCCATAAAATGCAAAGAATGTCCGAAGTTTCGCCTTTCACGTTTGATAAAGACGAAAAAAATGCCCGGCGCACATCCAGAGTTGCCACTGACGCCCCCGTGTGGCGCCAAGTCACTCAACATGCAAAATACAGCACCCAGCTCCACGTTGACATTTTCTGACGCCCACGTCACTCACCAGGCCAGGCCCCGCCTTTTAAAGCCGTATACACACGGCGTCTCGGTACCCTTGTGGTATTTTCATGAATTTAAATGAGGTCATCCGCTTATATTTGACGGAGAAATTGTTCACGTCGATGCAAATGAGCCTCATTGATAAACAACATCTAATTCACTTACGCTGGCGCTAGTAGCCACATGCAGTTTGAGAGCCCCAAATAAGAAAGGTAATAGAGTGCAATCTTAAACAGTTGCAGCCCTGGAAAAGCCCCCCTGTGTTGCTTACTCAGTTATTATCTACAAACCTGTCGGTTTTATTATTGTTTAGGCTAGTGTTTGTGTAAATTATTTGTCGTAAATTAATCATCTTTTCGGATAATCGGATAATTTCCCGCAGTGGTTTGGAATGTCCGATTTAGACCGCGCGTTTCCGCGTGGCACGTTTCTGCGCAGATATGAGGAGCTTTGTAGTGTGAACAGCTTAAACTCTCCTGGCTCAGTGGAGCCAAGTTGCTGCTCTCAGCAGTAGCTCACCGTTAAGTCCCGCGCGCTTCTGTCCAGCCGCCCTCCTCACCGATGTCTGTAAAAGGACATTTCTCTCTTGGGCTGACTTCTTTTCTCAATTTGGGATGGTCAGTAAAGCGCAGGAATGAAATAAAAAAAAAATCAAAATAAAAACATTGTGAGATTGCATAAGAGGCGGAGCACTGCCTTTGTGTCCTTTTTGCTGCGAGGACTGGGTTGATTTTAGCTAAAAGAGAAAAGGGTGATGCCTCCCAACTCTGCAAGTATGCATTGACCCTTCCCGGGACCTAATCGTCATAATGATCAAATGCTCTTTGAGATGTATTTAACATCCCCCACCAGCTGCAGACGCCAAGGTTTTTATTAGGCTTGCTTGCGTCCCTGTCGCCAAAGGCCAACCACTCCGTTCCGTGCACACACACTCGTACGCACACACGGGCACACACACACACAAACACAGGGTGTCTGAGCCAATGGTGTGATCCGCTCTGACAGCAGAGGAGAACACAGTTTTGACCCGCTGCACATCAGGAATATAGCGAGTAACATAAGTTAACCCTTTCAGGGACAGCGGTCACTACAGTGGACATGTTGTCAGGTTACAGAAGTGCATGAAAGGGGTTAAATTTCGCAAAAATATACCAGGGCTGCAACTCTGATTATTTTTAATAATCGATTAATCTGTCGATTATTTTTGCTCGATTAATCGATTCAGAATCTTTTTTAAAAAACAGGTTTTTCCATCCAGGTATTCAGATCCAGGACATTGTTTCCAATTGAAAGTGCAGAAAATCCACATTTGCTAATGATTCACTTTCTGGTTTGGTCATTAACATCTGTCAGATAATCAGCAAAAATGTTGATCATTCCTTTTTCAAAGTAAAAACGGATGTTTGCAAATGTCTTATTCTGAAAAAAAAAAGACCACAAAGATAATCATTCTGCTTTCATGGATGGTTCGAGAATTCTGAGACTCTTCAGAGGTCGGGATCATCCATTTTCAATCCCGCTTATCCTGAACAGGGTCGCCGCTGCAGATTATCCCAGCTGACTTCGGGCAGAAGGCAGACTACACTCTGAACTGGTCGCCAGTCAGTCGCAGGGCGCATATTGAGACAAGCGACCAACGTTGACACAATTGTTTTGTCCTGTCGAGAAAAACTAAAGACAAATCGATAGCCAAATTGAGCGCCATCACCCTAACAAGATCATTCACAATCACTTCAGTGGCAGCTCCTTACTTAGCTCGTCCTTAGTGACTATCTACTATCGACCCATTTTTGGCGACTCATTGTCGTGTTAACAGTCCGTTTTCTTATGATTCATGCGGACTCGCACGCGAATGAGCGCGCTGACGGTTGCTGTTCACTTCGACAAGCCAGTCAGTTGTATCACTTGTTGATTCCGGGCTCTCACGTGTACTCTTGTCGACCCCTTAAAAAATGCCGCATATAGCACGTAGGGTGTTTGTTATATCGTAATTTGTGTCTTTTCATGGTCCACTGCTCACAAATTCACTTTGTCAATTTTTATTACTTTTTTGTTGTGTGATGCCTTTTCCCATCTGTTCACCTATTCGTGGTTTTTGTGCTTTTTCTGAAAACAAACAAACAAGCAAAAAAAAAAAACAAGATGGTGCCAGAACCCTGTCTAATAGGAAATGAATGCTTTAGTGTCAAGGAAGGTAGGAGATGTGACCCTGAAGATTAAATGTTTTTAAGTGTTATGTAACCACCCGATACAATTCAAGTGGTACCGAGCTAACTGTTAGCTTATCTGCAAACTTTATAGTGGTTGAAAAGTCTTCTCCTTGTCGTTTTTATTGTGGAAAGAGACTTTGGAGACACCATACACACAAGGATTTACCTTTGGATATATTCACCAGTTTGAATGTTAACAATTGTTGGGCCAGGCTATTTTAGCTGTCGATCCGGCGGGGCGGGGGAATCGGTCACAAAACAATCCACATGACAGGATCAACGCTTCGGATAATCTTTTCGAGTCGTGGAACCTTTGCTGGCTTGCCGAAGGCAGAAGAAAATGCTCAAATTTGGCCCCATTGTAAGTACGCGTGTACCCGCTTGTACACGTGCATCAACATGGCGGCGAATCCGCAGTCAGATGTCTCACATACACCGGCAAGCATGGCCAATTGACCCGAAGCGGCCGATTGCAAGCCAGCTCTCACGCAGAAACACGGACAGAAACAAACATCCGGCCAAAAAGAAAAACACAGCCCACCCTGTCAGCCTTTGCCATTTGAAAACATTCCTCCTTTCTTCTGTTTCATCACATTTGAGCATGGTTGCACTTGCATGCGCCTCGGCGTGTTCGTTCTTGTGTGACCGTGTGTGATAGCGGGGAAAGCGAAGGAGAGCATCAGGAGGAGGAGGAGGAGGAGGGGCAGAAAACAGGCTCTGCTGTTGCCTGGTCACATGAGCGGTCCACGAGAGGCAGGCGAGAGAGAGGCTGCACATTCGAGCTGCCGCTGCGCTTACACATCCACGCGTCGCATTATTCGCGTCGTTTGATTCGCTCTGCTTCCTCAAATAGTCTCTCCAGTAGATTCCATGCACCAATGAACCACTAATGAGTCTATCCCTTTTCCATCCCGCTTTTCCTCGTTAGGGTTTATGACCTTTTGTTCCATTTTGCCCTTGGCCGTTAGGCTGGCGACCGTTCTTGGGGTGAAGCCTGCCTCTTGGCCAAAGTCGGCTGGGATACGGTCGCGCACCCGTCTGCAACGCGCGTAAGGATCAACAACAATATAGAAAATGATTGGACGCATTGATTATCAGAGGCACCAAAAGCGGTTCAGTTTGGCCGTCGAAGTGAAAGCCACAGGATTTCACGTGATGTGCAGTAGGGAGTCGACGATTTGTGTTTCGGTCGATTGGTCACTCCTCAATGTTGTTTTCAACCTTATTTCTGTTTCCGGGAAGCTATGCCACGAAACACATGAAATATGATTGTGTCCTTCCACAGTTTTGCTTTGGCAGAAGACCTGCGCTTTCAATATAATTCCGGTCGTTTGGATGGTTCATTATTTCGATCTTCAATCACTTCCGATGCAAAAAAAACGACATTGATGATTGATTTAAAAAAAACAAACAAACACTTCATTAAAATTCATTCACTCCCAATGACGTTTTTCAACGTCTTTTCAGACTTGGTCCAGAATTGGTTGGTACTGAATGAGTTAAGGTCAAATGGTGAACTGGATCCAGCTGACGGAACTGCTCAGCTAATCCGCACTTCGTAATGTTCGTTACCGTCACCCGCGGGACTCGCAGCCATCATATCTGACTCTTCTGTGTCTTGCTTTCAGATGCGGCTGCGAGGAAAGCTTTCATCACGGAGGTAAATTTCGAATTTCCCCGCTAGCTCTTCGTGATGATGTTTTGCATGCTGCTTACATTCGACGTGGTCGATTTAACTCGCGCATGGAATCAATATTGAAGTGTAAAGCTCATATTGTACCGAGCAGTCACACCCTCTGCACCCTTTGTCAGTGTAAAATTTCCCGTTCTGTACTTGTTAGCATATTTTTGCTCATGGCCAACACTAGCACTGTTTCTTTTGTGAACAGCACATCAAATGAAATCACAAGAAAAGCAAACAGTGAAGTGCTTTTTTTTATTGCATTTTTGCCTGAAAGTGAGCACCTGCTCAGCTCAGAGGCACTCATAAAAGCATGCTGGTCTTTTTGATACGTAGATCATGAAACGCAACAGATTCGGCACTTTTACTCATCAACAGTCTCTCTCTTGATTGTCAGATGCCGTCTTCCTCAGGCCTTCCCGGTCAGGGGAAGAAAATCGGCCACAGAGGGGTGGATGCTTCCGGTGAAACCACTTACAAAAAGGTTGGCCTAAATTCGCTTGTACACTTGACAGACAATTATTTAAACGTACGGGATGATCTAATAAGTTTGATATTTGAAATTATTTTTTCCAAAAGCCAGAAAACTACATTGTGAGCATGTGTGTGGACAAAAGGATAGAAAATGTGTGTGTGTGTGGGGGTTGTACAGTACATCTGCATGAAGACACTTTGTGAATTTACCCCTTTTCAGGGACGGCGGTTACTACAGTGGACAGCTTATCATGTTATCAGGTTGCAGGGGGCACGAAAGGGTTAATGTCACTCCAGTAAAATGAAAGAAACAATCACTGATGCGAATGTGCCTCGAAATGTGGGATGGGATGCAAATCTGTTCAAAATTGTTCATGTAGGATTTTCCCCCAAAGAAAATAATATACGTCGGAATCTTGGGTGAACAAATGCCCATCGTAAAGCTTTTTATAAAAATGACAGGCAATGTCTGAAGTAACATTTTAACAGTGTATGACTGACAACATCTTTTGACGACCCCCTCTCTTAACATAGACCACATCGTCTGCCCTGAAAGGAGCCATCCAACTCGGCATCGGTTACACGGTGGGCAACCTGAGCTCCAAGCCTGAGAGGGATGTGTTGATGCAGGACTTCTACGTGGTGGAGAGCATCTTCTTCCCCAGGTCTCGACCACGCCTCATAATATCGGCTGTTGAATGTCTTTCCGTATCCGTACTTTGAATACGATTTGTTATTTGTCCACACTGCAGCGAAGGGAGCAACCTCACTCCTGCCCATCACTTCCCAGACTTTCGCTTCAAAACCTACGCGCCTGTGGCCTTTCGCTACTTCCGAGAACTGTTTGGCATCAGGCCGGATGACTACTTGGTAAGACGACTGTAAATGACTCCAGAATAATGGGACCAGATGGATGCAACAGGAACACACACACACACACACACACACACACACACACACATTCCCACATGGGTTCAGTTAGGGGTTCGTCTTGCATGAGCCGTGTAGGTGAAAGTACGGATGGACAGCCTCATATTGATCAGCCATGATGCACCTCAGCAGCAAGCCACCATTGCTGTCATTCAAATGCAGGGCATTTTTTAACTACAAATTAGCATTTTGAAGGTATATTTTGGGGGTCCGTCCAACAATATGATTATTGTTGCCTTTGTATGCAGTTAGTGTTTGTGAGTCCGTACAGCGGCTAACAAAGAGCAATGGAACTGAACATGGTCAATATCTGTCGTTCTTCACAGAGGATAAAGAATATATGTTTGCGTCTTGTTATATTGTCTGACATGTGCTGCTCCATCGTTTGTCTTCAAATATCGATTACTTAAACAGGTGCACCGCCACCGCATCCGTGCTGTTTGTTAGCCTGTCTATGGCATTTCCACTCATGCGTGAGCATTAAGCTAGCAGACTTCAAGGCAGAGTTGTGGTTGATTCGAGAAGACAATCTGCCTCTTTGCTTTATCTGATGTTTGATCGTAAATTTCAACTGGGAGTTGGTTTGAAGGCTGTCTTTTAGAGAATTGTTCGCGATCTGCCAAACTGCTGCTTGTTTTGAAGATAGTTAGCCACCATACAGCGCTCATCCCTCAAACATTTTTCATAAGACAAAGCAGAAATCAGTCGAATGGCAGGTCACTTTTCGAAAAATTGATAGATCGGGTAACTCGTATCTCAAGGTACCGTCATATCTTTTATTTAAAAATAAATAAATAAATAAAAAATTGTCTCCAATAGCGAGTAGGAGTTGTGTGAGTTTCACACATTGCAAGTCCATCTTTGTCGTGTCCTTCGCAGTACTCCCTGTGTAACGAGCCACTGATCGAGCTGTCCAATCCCGGCGCGAGCGGCTCTGTCTTCTATCTCACCAAGGACGACGAGTTCATCATCAAGACGGTCATGCACAAGGAGGCGGAGTTCCTCCAGAAGCTGCTGCCGGGCTACTACATGGTAGGAGAGCAATGCAAGCGTGCATCCAGTGACATTAAAATATTAGCAAGAAAAATGAAATCAATGTACCTGATTTTTACCTTCGTGGGCCACATAAAATGATGTGGCGGGCCAGATGTGGCCCCCGAGGCTCGAGTTTGACACCGTGATTTAGATGAGTCTTTTACCATTAGACTGTAGGACCGTCTGAGCAGGCCTCTTACTGATATCACTGGTGACAAATGCTTCAGCCTGGAGGCGGAGGTCTGCTCGAAGAGATAAAAACGCATGCCAAGGTCAACACACACACACACACACACACACACACACACACACGCAAACCAAATTAGTCAGCGTCGCTACATGCAGTCAGCTCCACACGTCTGTCGCAGCTGACGGACTTGACGGTCAAGGGCCGACCGAGCGGGCTGGCTTTGGGCTGTTTACGGATCACGGTGATGTAACCGCTTTTCTCTGTCTACTGTGTGATCCACTCCATCATCACGCACACCTCTTCTCACTCTTTTGGCCGTTCTCACATCGCAGCGCAGCTTATTTTCCTTTCATTCTTTCACGCTTTAATCCGTACTCACATCCCCCCCCTCCCCGCACCCCTTTCTCACGTGTCACGTTGTCCGACTTCTCTTAGGACCCTGTGTGGCTGCTGAGGGCAAAACATGCTCTTTCTGGCTTGCTGGTATGATGTAGCTGTACTTTGCCCCACCAGCTTCCTCTTCCGAAAATCCATATTTATCCTTCCCCATCACAGTAAAGGGTCGCCATCAAACTAAGCGTTGCTGTCTAATGTCATCAATCGATGCTCCTTGTCAAACGGCACAAACAGAAGCAGCTCAATCTGTTCGACGCCAATCACATAACATTCAAATCGGTGTCGGCTGTGTGTTATACTCACAAGAATGGGAGCAAAGACGCAAAGTGGAAACCTACCAAAAATAAAAGCTTAAGCGCTCAACTTGCTCTGCTCAGTCAACCACATGACTCCATGTATGGTGATTCCAAACACTGGATCGTTTCGTTTATTTCCCCAACGTGACTCTGGATTAATAATAACCTTATGACGGCACAGTGAAATAGTGGCGAACGCTTTTGTCTTACGTTTCTGATGTTCTGGGCTTTCTGTGTTGAGTTCCTTCTACATTTCATACACGTGCATGGTAGGCTCATTGAAGGGGATAAATCCGGGATGTCAAACATGAGTGTTTTTGTATATTTGCCCTGTGGTTGGCTGGCGGAGTTCAAGGGTGTAAAATCGGCTCAGATTGGCTCCAGCCCACCCACCACGATATTGAGTACAAGTGTTATAAAAAATTAATTCATAGATGGATCATCTTTTCTTCCCCCGCCCCAGAACTTGAATCAAAACCCTCGCACTCTGCTGCCCAAATTCTTCGGCCTCTACTGCGTCCAGTCGGGCGGCAAGAACATCCGCGTGGTGGTGATGAACAACGTGCTGCCCCGCGTCGTGCGCATGCATCTCAAATACGACCTGAAGGGCTCCACCTACAAGAGGCGAGCGTCCAAGAAAGAACGCGAGAAGGCCCGGCCCACGTTCAAAGACCTGGACTTCATGCAGGACCTGCAGGACGGACTCATGCTGGACCAGGACACGTACAACGCGCTGGTCAAGACGCTGCAGAGGGACTGTTTGGTAAGTTTGGGTGGGAAGTTAAACAGATCAGAGTGCTTTGTATTCCCGTACCTCTAACAAGAACCACTGTTCTATGGTTTTCATCACCACACTGTTCCCCTTTCCCATTTCTGGTACCATTCTATGGTGCGATGCTAGCAGCTAACAATTGCAGTTTCCGACAACCCTTGAAATGTTGAAGTATTCCGGCACCAGCTCTGTAAAATTCCAATGAGAAAATAATCAAAAAGTTGTTCATTTGGTGCCATCATTGTGTGCTTCGCGATGGCTGCCCCACATTACTATGAATAGAACGTGGATAATGAATGTATGTATGCATGCATGCTAACTTATTCCATGACTGACGTGAACAGGTTTGAGTCCCTCTGGCGCTGACGGCGTTCTGCACTCTGGATAAAAGCTTTTCTCCCGCCACGTTCATTCATCGCGTGCGTGTCATTCGGTTTTGTTCAGGTGCTGGAAAGCTTCAAGATCATGGACTACAGCCTCTTGCTGGGAGTTCACAACATGGACCAGGCGGAGCGGGAGCGGCAGATGGAAGGCTCCCAAGGCGACAGCGACGAGAAACGGCCCCTGGCCCAGCAGAAGGCGCTCTATTCTACCGCCATGGAGTCCATCCAAGGCGGGGCCGCCTGCGGGGGGTCCATTGACACCGAAGACACGTGAGCGGGGCCAGTCAGATGCCACAAGTTATGGCGTCGGGGTGCAAAACCGACATTTTGCACTTTCAGTCGCGATTTCGTGATACATTTGAATCCATTTTTTTTTCTGTATAGTGTTGATGATTTGAATGTACAGCTCATATAAATCCCAAATTCACAATCTCACAATTTTTAAAAGTATACCAACTGTTGTCATTCCGACACCGTTCCCCTCTTAGGATGGGTGGCATCCCCGCCGTCAACGGGAAGGGGGAACGACTTCTGCTCTACATTGGCATCATTGACATCTTGCAGTCGTACAGGTAAGCAAGCAGCACGGGAACCGCGCGGTGAGGTTCGCGTTTTTGCTTTTTACGCTCGTTGCACACCTGGTCAGCCTGATTGTGTTGCCTTTCTTTGTCTGTACAGGTTAATCAAGAAACTGGAGCACACGTGGAAGGCTTTGGTGCACGACGGGGTGAGTTTTTCATCATGCCTCTGCAAACACTGACTCACCCCTGAGCAGGCGTCAACATCACTCCACGCTTAAGATGTCTCCCCTGACTCATGGGTCACAACATTTGGTGCCTAATCTCAGACAAGCCTGCATTTTTTTGACTGACTCGAGATATAGAGATGGAAATATTCAGTGCATTCAGTATTGACAGTGCTTCACCTTTTCCGCATTTATAGCCCAATTCCAAAATTATTTTTTCCCCTTTAAAAAAAAAAAAAAAAAAAAAAACCTCTGCATTATTCTCCCTCCAAGCGAACCAAACAATGTCACCCATCAGGCTGCTGGAGAATCAATAATGTCTGTCTGTGTTTATGTCTGTGCTTTGTCTGTCTAGTGGCTTGACCCAGAGACATACTGAACTGGAACACAAGAGGAGCTAACACTGTACATTGATTAATCTGCTCGTGCTTCTTTTTTTTTTTTTTTTAATCCCCCCCCCCCCCCCCCCTTCCTATCTCGTCCGCAGGACACTGTTTCGGTCCACCGGCCTGGATTCTACGCCGACAGGTTCTTCAAGTTCATGAGCAGCACCGTTTTCAGAAAGAGCTCCTGTGAGTCCTTTCTGCTGCCTTAAATAGTCAAAGCACTGCCGCGTGGGAAGGAAATAATAGATAGTCTTCTAACTGCCTTATTCGGTGCTTCTTTATGTCATGTTAAGACAGTTCAGCCGCTCTTGTTGTTTCACTCTCGAGTGAAAAAAAATCAAGTAGGAGAGCCAAGGTGGGCTCTGAAATTCCCATTCATCATCGTCCTCACTAGGACATGCTTCCTCAGTTAAGCGTGAAAGAAGCCCAGTTCGAAAATATGTTTTGAAACCCAAGGACTGGAACACGATCGTCTATAGTTTTAAAATAAATCAATATACAGTGGTGCCTCTACTTGCGAAATTAATTGGTTCTGGAAGAAATTTCTGAACTAGAAAAGTAGAGACACATTTTCCATGTAAATGCCCTAATCCGTTCCAACCCCCCCCAAAATTCAGACATAAATGTTTCCTAAAGCATAAAAATGTATCAAAATATGTAACAAATACATGTTACAATTAGATTATTTCACAATAAATGAGAGTTGCGCATAATGTAAAAAACAAAGAATAAAAATGATGGTCATTTCACTTTTAACTACGTCCTCATCTTTTTTTTTGCCCTCTTCGTGTTCTCTCTCAGAAGTGGTTTTTGCCTGGCAATTTGTGAAGAACTGATCCAAGGATGATCTGTTTTGATCTGTTTTGAATGTACATTGCGTAGCTCTGAAGTCATCTCCGTCCAAGAAGGGCCGCGTGTCACTTACGGTGCCAAAGTGTGGCGGTCCCGGCGCGGCCTGGTCTGCCAGCCAGCTGCCCTCCGAGAGAGACGAGAACATCTATGACCTGAGAGGCGCTCGCAGTTTCCCAACGCTGGAAGACGAAGGTAATTGCGTTCTTTTGACTCGGCCTACGCGTCAATAAGTACACATCCGTGCCAAACGAAGAATGCGACAGTCTCACTCGGTCGCAGGCTTGATGCAGTTATTGCAAGTAAAGGTTGCACCACCAAATTTACTTTTCGAGGGGACTGAATTTGTAGTTGTTTGTGGTTATTTTCTCCTGCATGTCCCACCGTTCTTTTTACGCCCAATTTCCAGGACGAGCTGATCTTCCCTGCACGCCTCCATCGTTTGAGGAGGCCACCACGGCGTCCATCGCCACCACCCTCTCCTCCACCACCTCTCTGTCCATCCCTGAAAGATCTCCCTGTGACACCGCCGAGCACCCGCGCTACAGGTAGTAGCATCAACAAGCCGCGCCATGACGATTGCTTGACAACAGTTTGTCACCTCACGAGTGGCAACTGGCGGAGGGAACGGGTCCCTCGTCCAACGGCACCATTTTTCATTCTTTGTGGTAGCTTGACATTGTTTCATTTGTCTCTAGGAGGCACACTCAGTCTCTCAGCCACGATGGAAGGTAAGTTTGGTGGCTTCGGAATTTCAAAACATTGTTTTGAGGCTAGACATTGGTTGTTCGCATCCACGGAGACACGTGTGTGTGTGTGTGTGTTGTCGTGTGCAGGACCCAGGAGGAGCTGCGTGTGCGCGAGGAGGACCAGCAGACCATCACAGTGGAGGTGGAATTAAAGAGACACGACAGTGAGCCCACCATCTCCATTCCGCAGCCTTCGCCTGAAACCAGGTACAGTTTAGACTCGAAAATTGTTTGTGAATGTGAATGTTTATCTGCGTGTGCCCCGTAATTGACTGGCGACCAGTCCAGGGCGTACGTCACCTGTCCAGCGGGGTGGCAGCTCAACTGCAACACCACTTTGGACAAGGACCAAAGAAAATGGATGCATGTACTTTATAGGACGTTAAATGAACATTACAGCACAAAATGTGTTGACAAAGCACCAGTCGGAGCGTGACATCGCGTTCCACAAAACTCCTTTTACCTTCTCGGCAGAGTTTGTGTGTGACCTCAATGTAGCAGAAATATGATGTCTCTCACAATGCTGCCGGGAGATTATGAGACAAATTTGGGGTAACCAACATGTAGAAGTAGGGCAGTGGTCCTGGGGGCCTGAGGCGGCCGCCGTGAAGCCACCATGACCTGATTGTTTTTGGGTGGGGGAGCACATTTTAACCTGATTTTTGTTTCAGCAGTACAAATAACTGCTCTAATCTCATCCCTTCACACGACAATTAATTTAACAGATGACAGGTTTCTGGGAGGAGGGAAGGACGCGTGGAGGAACAGAACGTGTTGGTTTGGGCAACGGCGAGACATATGGCCTGGGGTCATGGATGGAGGTCTTGACGGGGGCTGGTGGGGCGGGGTAGAAAATGGAGAGACTGAACGAACCAACAAAATGAGTTGGGTGTTCCATGATGCTGCATGACTTCCAAGTGGTTCTATTATCTAGGAAGTTTCTCCCACTGGGATTAAGATTTGGTTGGTTAAGTAAGTTGCATTTGAGCATTCCTAACTGGCATCCAAGTGTAAAAATAAATGAAGCACTGCGTAATAAAACTGAAATTAGTGTCTCCCGGCCTTTGAGCCCAGGCACATATTTGATAAAATTGTCACAAAAAGAACTATACACTGAATAATAACAATTTCATCTCAATGTGCTTAAAATGTACTCACAGTGAAACAGCTCATATTGTGTTCTATAAATGGCGCACATTAATTAGTGGGCACACACATTAATCTCCATCGACTGGAAGTGCATTTAATTGTTCTGCCTGGTACTATACGTCACTTTTTTTTTTTTTTGTCTTTTACCACTCATTTTGTGAAGCACTTGTTTTTCTGGAGTAAACTAAAAAAAAAAAAATTCTCAGACTAATCAAGTGAAAGTGGATGATTTCCTGCAGCGCACCAAATGATCTGTCACGGCACACCTACGATTGGAAATCACTGGTGTAGTGTCTAACGCCTGTCTTTGGTATTTAAAAAAAAAAAAAAAACATCTATGGATGGTCATAATCCCTGTTTAGGAACAACAAAGGATCACGACTACACGACGGCTGGCAAAACACACTCTGACGCAACATTCGTCTTTTATTCCAGCAGCGAGGCTCAAGAGGCTGCCGCTGCACCTTCCACTTCTTCTCCAGCCCCCGAAGCCTCCTCCTCGCCCGCCGCCGTCGCACCTGTTTCTGCCGAGGCATCCGGGGCCACTCCGTCCAGTCCGAAGCCGGTGGCGGCGGCGGCGGCGGAAACAGCAAGCCACGCGTCGGGCTCGGGGTGCACCAGCCAGGCTTCGGTGGATGACGAGGACGACGTCCCGGTCACGGACATCTACTTTGTAAGACCACACGCTACACTTAGATGCTTCCATGAAGTGCTGAGGCTGTGTAATGCTCTCCCACAGAAGTGTTGACAGACGGGGGCGGCATAATGGTGGACCGTGGCACTCTTAAGCGGGTATGACGATTTGTGCGGTTCGCTCTGAGTGCAGTGATGACAGCATGTTGCCAATCTCCTTGCTGCTTTTCAGATGCACACTTATGAGCCCCTTTTTAGCCTTATGATGGGTACAAGATAAAGATGAACAGAAAACAGAAACGGCAATAAAAAAAAAAAAAATTCTTATTATAACATACAGTATGGAAAATATATCGCTCCCATCTGCATGTGCATCTCAGTATAGTTGAAAATGATACAAATTATGTCAAATTGCAAACCAACAATCAAAATGATTGATTTTTTTTTTAACTCATTCACTATTGTGGACATTTGTATACGTCAGTTGGAATCTAACTGTTTACTGCCACCCCTCGATATGTTCGTCAAGTACGTTTTTCAATAAGCAGCTGTAGAAAATTGTCTTACCCAGCTTGACTGTGAAATTCAAGCTTCGATATTACTGTAATGACAAGCAGACGCCACTTGATGGCAGCATGGCGTCTCATATGGATTTGTGATCAGCACAACTTTTGAGTTGAAGATTAAAAAAAAAAGAAGAAGAAGAAGAAGTGAGCAATCTCGGCTTGTTGCGTCAGTTATGTGCGAGAGAAATGCCAACCCGGAAGTGAGAAAGTAGAATGTATGTGTCTCGATGCTGAGAAATGATTGTGGCTGCAATGTACATTTGCACTGCATCCCGCTTGGACATGTTTCTTATTCTGTGAAGTCTGTCTTTCACATCTCTTCGTACCATGTCATGCAGTCCTACAACCACAACAATAAGCCTTAAAACCTCTCGAACACTGTCCATCAAGACTGAGTCGTATTATTTTTAGAAAGCCAGATCATTCTTACTTGTGTGCTGTGTACTGCATGGTACAGGACTTATCACCTTGCATTTATGAATCACTTAACCGTGTCGCGTTGCCAGAGGGGTCATTTCTTTTCCATTCTCGCCTCAGCATGCCGCCCTAGTCATGTCACCTTTTTCCCTCTCTCTCTTCTTTTCACATCTTTGTCCATTTGTCATCTTCCGCTTCCACCCGTTGTTGATGTTGTCAGTTGCCCGACGGACGGACTTGGGTGGTCTCACCGCTCCGACAGAGGGGCAAATGGCGGTCCGGGTGGCCTGTAAGTGAGCTGTAGATGGGGCTGGCTTCAGACGTGGTGGCTGGCTTCTACGTTAGATTAGAATTGATTAGAACCTCTGTTTTTTTTTTGTTTTTTTTTGGGGGGGGGGGGGCAATTTTTGCAGTCGGCTTGTAGTCACATAGACCACAGTGGAGCTCAGTGGAACCTCCAAAGTGGAGCAGCATCTCTTCCATGACTCTGGCACGTCATGGAGGGAAAAAGAAGGTGTTTGCAGGATGACACGCATCGTAGTGGTATTATATAGCTGTTGCTGGAAGCAAAAAAGCTTCCAGCAAAAGCTTCAATAGTGCTTGTCCTAATGGGCGCATTTGAGGTGGAGTCTCTCCCAGATGATTATAGGACGAGCAATAGGGTACAGCACCCTAGACTGGTCACAATCAATAGTAAGACACATCTCAACGAGCGAGAATTCCCACAAGTGGACAATTTCGAGCCCAGGTGTCAAGCTCAAGACCCGAGGGCCAGATCCGCCCTGCCACATCATTTGATGTGGCCAATTAAAGCAAATCGTGTATCTACTTCATCTTTTTGGCTCCATTATATATATTTTTAGTCTGTTTAGATTTGCTACAACGCCATAAAACCCATTCAGCAATGCTCAATTTACTCTGAACCTGTCCTAAAAGGATTTTTTTTTCGACTTTGGAGGTTCTAGGTAAGCAAACTAACATCATGTGGTGTTTTTTTTTCATTGATGTGTCAATCATTGGACTGGCCGTGCCTTCTGCCAACCCGCCCCACACCCACCCACTTCCCCTTTTTCATCCCCCATCATTCATACCGCACATGACCTCCTAGAAGACATTTGACTCAAACACACTGTGTGATTTATCACTGCTTCTGAGCAACATCTGGCTTCAAGGATTAACACGAGCTGTCTGGGCGACATTTCCCCCCTTTATGCATCCCTAACTTTCATTTCCTGTCTTGTCTTTTCTTCTCCTGTGAACGATCTCCTGCATCTTTCTTCCTGCCTGCCTGCCACTGCCGCCCGCCGCTTATCTCTGTGCCACTGGCCCTCTCCTCTGTCCCCCTGGCGCCCTCTGCTGTGCTTGGCGTGTAAAAAAAAAAAACAAAACAAAACAGCCTCCAGAGGACAAGACCTGGGTTTACTCTCCGCTACACTATGGCTCAGAGTCTAAGGCCCTGCCAGATGGGGATTGGGAAAGAGAGACAGTAAGTGAGAAGCATCCGACTAAGAAATACACAACGCCGGAAGAATCCTCCACATTCTATTTTAAGCAGTTTTAATGCTTCTCAGGTCCATCAAACCCTCCCCACCCCCACGCGCATTGCAGCATTCATCCCGGTGCAAATGGTCACCGATTTGTGACTATTTAGTGCACAAGCGGCCACCGTGTGTCTCTTCAACAGCAAGCTGCATGTACCATGCCACTTCTTGTCATCAGCCTGCTCAGATGATCTAAATCGTACAAAAAAAAAAAAAAAACGGTTTCACCCAAGGGTGGGCAACCCTCGGGCCGCCACATCATTTTGATCTGTGCCCGCAAGGCAATTCCAAATACAAAACCTCAGAGGAACTTTTGCACCAAAAAAAAAAAGGCAAAAACCTTTTGCCACACAAATACTCATAATGGATACAGTGGTGCACTGACTTGAATGTTGAATTCACACGTATCTCTTACGTATCTTTCTCCGTTGCAGTGGATGGAAATGGCATTAATTCGTTTTTTAATTAAAAAAAATCGCAATCTATAATTGAGCTGTATAAAAACCATTCATCAATAGCAGAATGTAAAGAATTAAACCGTTTGTGCATCGTGATTTCAGGCGTGCATTTGGAAGCTCCTTCTGGTGTGGGTGTGTGTATTGGCCACCAGGGGGCATTGTAACACATCCAGACAAAAAAAGTTTCACAGCTCTCGGAGTCAGTAAAGTACATTAATATCGGTTGCAGAGGATAAAGAACATATGACTATAGTTTTAAATTCTGTCTACATGTGTTGCTGCACATTATGGGATAAAAACTTGTTGCTTCAACAGTTGTAACACCGTGACATCACTGCTATTTTCAATAGCATTTTGTGTGTCCAAAGACAGATTGATGAGGATTTTACCCTATAGTCTGGCGCAATTTCGAATGACGTCACAATGCTAACTTGTTCGCCACAATATCTTTTAATACGTCGACTGACTTATCAATTCATTCACTGTCTGTCTCCCCCCCGACAGTAAACCCCGTCTTGTGACTGAAAGGCATGAAGTGGATCGTCCGGACAAAGCCCAAAACCTCCTTCCTCAACGGTCGAATTGCAATCTTTTTGTCTCAAGAGGAGAGAGAACTCAACAGACTGGCGTAGCAGAGAGAGGTCCCCGCCATTTACATATGATACGTGTGTTTCCGTGTGGCATAGTACAAGTATGCTCGTGCGTTATATGTTTTTGACGTGACACACACACACATGTCTTATTCCACAGAAACATCTCATGGGCTCGTCTTCAGTTGCCCCGAGGTGGCTACGTGGTTGCCATTGTCGATTGTGTATAAAAGACATGCCATTAGCCTTTTATATGGTCACATAGTGATCCTCTAGGTCAGGCGTCACCAACTCTGGTACTCGATGGCCCCTATGTTGTATGTTTTAAATGTTTCCCTCCTCCGAAATACCCGAGTCTAATGATCAGCTCATTAGAAGCCTGATAACAATCCGGATCGTCTGAATCAGGTGCGATGGAGAGGGTAAATATCTACCCTAAATAAAGTCAGGGAGGAATAAAAAAAATTAATAATAATGATCTTCATCAGTTTTCTTCAGCGACATGAAATTGGTTGGACATGTCACTCAACAACAGGACAAACCAAAAAGTCTCAAGGATCCATGTACAACATTTTTCAGGCAGTCAGCAATTTCTAACTCGGTAATGCCCTTGGAAAGGTTAGGGGGGGAAAAAAATAATCATTATCATAAAACAACCCCCGACACTACTTTCATCAGTTGACACTACATTGGTTGGACATGTCTGTCATAACAGAACACAGAAAAAGGTCTCAAGGACCCATGCCCAAATTGAATAGAAAGTCTGCCATTTTGGTTTGATGCAGACAGTTTGTGTCAACTCCGCAGCTCATATTTGGACAAATTCTTCCTCTGGAATTTGCCCAAAGGAGCCCCAATTGGAAGCTTCTTTTCATAAGACAAATAGGCGATGCAAAATGACAACGCTTTTTGCATATGCTCTCCACTATGGGGTGATTCTGGTGTCAAAATTTTGATGAGCATTTTGACTATTTTCCATCATAAAGGGGTTTTTCGCAGCTTGAAGTGTTGTTATTGCCAACAAATTGGATACTCTTCATGTTCAGTATTCTCCATTGACATCGTCCATGCTGAGTGACTCATTTTACTTTATTTTAGTTTGATTTGCCAGTGCAGTACCTGACAGCAAATACTCAAATGTTACTAAGAACTGTAGCATGAATAAAATTGATTGAGACTTATTTAAAAAAAAAAAAAAAGTTTTATGATGGTGAGAGTTTGACTTGGAAACAGATTATTTCATTATTTCCAGTAGGAAAATCGATAGAAAGATTGTGATAAATATCGGTGGTTTGGTTGTATTTTAACGGACCCTCACAAATGTTCACCTGTCATTTATTTTTGTTATGTTTTTATGTGCAACAGACGCCCACGCATTGCTCGCGATGTCTATTCAATCTACCGTCATCACAGATGCAAAGCATAGCAGCAATATTTTGTGCAGTCCTCGCCTCCTTTTCCTTTCAGATTGCCTTATTAGATGATTTTGATCTTGGATCTTTCACTCACGATGTCCTATTTATTTTTCTTTTCCCATCATTGTGCTCCTGAGAACGTGTACATAATTTTAAAAAAAAGAAAAAATATATATATAGAGAGAAAGATATACAGATATATTTTCCATCGGAAATGGAGAATGTTATTTTTCTTTGGTTTTATTTTTGCTGCTTGGCCGAGAGACGATTGCAATCTGTGTCGTTTGCTGAGTCATGTTCTTCAAAACCGAGAAGGAGCTGCATGCAGCTGTTGGGTGGATTTTACTGTACATGCAAACCAGTAGGGATTCTTCCAACTTGTTCAACATGTGTTTTGTGTGTGTGTTGTGTGTGTGTCATCCAATAGGAAGAGTCCTTTACAGAGACAGCATGGTTTAAAAAAAAACTACTGTAATGCATATCAAAAATGTGTATTTATGTATATCTGTGTATATTCATCTATTTATACCTGAGCATAAATAGATGGCTGTATGCGTGTGTGTGTGTGTGTGTCTGTCTGTCTGTCTGTCTTTGGACTCAATCAGAATGAATGCAAAATAAAGCAGTTCTATGAATTGTCCAATGCGCACAGTTTAGTTTTTTGTTTTCTAACTCAAACAGCAATCACACTATCACCAAAAATAAATGATAGTAATCTAGTTTCTAATCACTTTTTGTGTCCCTGTTAAAAAGGAGGGCGCAAAGGATGGGGCTACTGGGGCGGTGGTCCTTGGCATCCATCTGTGGTGTGCATGCAGAGCACAGAAAAAAAATTGTTTGTTTTTTACAAAAGTACTGTGCCAGTTATCTGAAGAAGTAAAAGTGTATATCTAAGGAATAAAACATATACAAGAGTTGTAATTTATTTGGTAATTTCCCCATTTTTAAAGATGATGCATATGTTAAAAAAGTAGAATATACAAATGTAATACAAAACATATGTACAGTAGTCGTAAATAAAATATCTTTTTAAATTATTTAATGTAATGTATTAATGATAAGCGGAATAGAAAATGGATGAAAAAACTAATGTATTATGAAGTGGGTCGTGGTTTCAGCGCAATGGCCTCTTCCTGCATTGATTCGTCCCGTGAATTCTTTACAAGCAACCGATTCGTCGACATCGCTGTCAATCACATACGTACATAACTGATTCAATGTCACGTGCTCCATGTGGTGACGCATCCATTTTCCTGCTTGAGGGCGGAGTTTGTCCGTTGGGCAATATTTGGAAAAAGTAACAGTCAGACGCTAATCACCGCGGGGGAAAAAATGGGAAACCGAGATGATGAATACGATTATTTATTCAAAGGTAAGGCCTCCGGGGGGCGGATGAACAGCAACGCTCGACGCTGGCGATCGTTATTAGCCCGTGACACAAGGAAGTGACACAAAACAACGGAAATGCTAAAGTTAGCTCCCTAGGGAGCAGAAACGCGCAAATTGCCCAACGTTAGAAAAAGTATTCCAAAAAAGATACCATGTTGTTCGTTAACATGATATTCATGGGTCATACTTTGCCTAAAACTGCCGTAGAGGCCATGATCTCAAGCGATCCGGGGAAACAAGCTACGGTGTTAAGTAGCTAACATGGACGTAGTCGGCACTGAAGTGACGTCACTAACCTTGCAAAACAGATGTTTGTGAGCCGCGCAGTCAATCCGAGCTAAATTCATATTTTAAATCCTAAATATGACAATGATGAAACTTCAAGAGTCACTCAAAACAATGAACACACCCACACCTATTTGTGGTTTTCTATTCATCTAATAGGAAAGTAGTAATTGGTACACCTTGACTCCTGATCGTCTGACAGTGCAGACAAAAAAATGTCAGAGATATTAGTAAGACACCTAAATGTGAAAGTGGAAAAAAATGCATCTCCTTTCAAAGGAAGACTTTAATTTTACTTTGATTTTGCTTTGTCACATCTTTAAATTTTAAATAATTAGAGCAAGAATTGGATGTGTTATTGAACTATGAAACATGTCAAAACATTTGGGAACCCCAGTATAAAAACATCCCCATATATCTCACAACCTTTTGTTTGGTTGTGTGCAGTCGTGCTGATCGGAGACTCCGGAGTGGGCAAGAGCAACCTGCTGTCACGCTTCACCAGAAACGAATTCAACCTGGAGAGCAAGAGTACCATCGGGGTAGAGTTCGCCACCCGCAGCCTGCAGGTGGACGGCAAGACCATCAAGGCTCAGATTTGGGACACGGCCGGACAGGAACGCTACCGAGCCATCACCTCGGCGTGAGTGTCCCCCCCCCCCCCCCCCCCCCGCTTGGCTTGATGCATTTTGGGTACGAGCGAAGGAGCTGACCGTATTTACCGGTTTCAGGTACTACCGCGGCGCGGTGGGCGCTCTGCTGGTGTACGACATCGCCAAGCACCTGACGTATGAGAACGTGGAGCGCTGGCTGAAGGAGCTGAGGGACCACGCCGACAACAACATCGTCATCATGCTGGTGGGGAACAAGAGCGACCTGCGACACCTCAGGGCCGTGCCCACCGACGAGGCGCGGGCCTTTGCTGGTAAATTAACCTCATTCTTCAATTTCACAATCAACCCTAGGGACCTTTTTAGCTAACTTGTCTCATTGTGGAAAAAAAAAAACGTAGCAAAAATAGATATTTAGTCGAATAAAATTCTGATGACCGAAAAATATATATATATATATGAGTAAAATAATTTCTGTTCTGAATTACAGGCAGAAAGTTTGACCCTTTAACAGTGCTTTTAGTCCTTTAGTTTTGTTAAACTTTACAATGAAGAATTTTTTTTTTTAGGGGGTGGGGTTAGATGTCATCAAGAATCAAGTCAAGTACAACTTTATTGTCAAATGTGCTGTATGTACAACATACAGCACAGATGAAATTTCTTCCCTCTCAAGACAACATAAAACAAGAGGATCTTGTCGTTGTCTAATATTGTTAATGTGCAAAATGAAAATAAAAAACAGTCAGGGAAAAAAACGGCTGATTTCAGACTTCTGATAATAATTTCCAGTGATGGTAGTCATGTGCCACCGTAGGTTAAAGGTGACCTGCTTTTATGTTTTATTTGATTTTTTTAAATACTTTTTTTGTGAAACTGATATTTAACCCCCCCTCCCAAAAAAAAACAAATTTGCGATTGACTCAAAATGTAATGAAAAATATTCCATATGATCCCATTCTCAGTGCTGTTCTTTACGTGACAGAAAAAAACACGCTGTCATTCATCGAGACTTCTGCCTTGGACTCCACAAATGTGGAAGAAGCCTTCAAGAACATCCTCACAGGTAAAGAGGAGAGCGATGTTTTTTTTTTTTTTTTTTTTTTTTAAACACACAAAGTTGTTATTATTTTTTTTTTCCTTTCTAAATGTATTTGTCTCCTTGGCAGAAATTTACCGCATCGTGTCCCAGAAGCAAATATCGGACAGATCAGCGCACGACGACTCCCCTGGCAACAACGTGGTAGACATCAGCGTGCCACCCACCACCGACGGACAGAGGGGCAACAAAATGGCATGCTGCCAGAGCTTGTGAACTTTTTTTTTTGTTTGTTTGTTTGTTTGTTTGGGTTGAAATCCCTTCCTCCTTCCTCCTCACTTTGACTTCAATCCCATTCCCATTGACCCAGTCGCATCAAGAGCGACGGCGAGGGGGTGTGAAGCGTTTCTCACTATCCCAGACATTGAAAGTGTGGATTTCGACTCCCACCCGTCTCGGAGCAGACATGATGCCCGAAAGCAGAGCGGCCGTGACTGTCTTGACTCCATTTTGTTTTGTTTTGTTTTTTTAACATGCACACACCAAAGCAAGATAACATGCAATCATGAACAGTTGCATTTCAAGATTCTATAAATCAAATTAATGTTGCAAAAAGCTTCCAATCAACCAGCTGGCACACTTTTACATGTCCAATCATTTCAGTGTTTGTTTTTTTTTTGTTTTTTACATTGCCGACATCCGGTAACATTTCAAAGCTAAAATGAATCACACCAGAGTCTTGACACACATCCAGTAAGTGTTTTACCAATGCAGGGAAGGATGTGCATGACTTGTGTGTGTCAGATATTTCTTGTGGAAATTGCTGATGCGTCAATAAAGCCAACGACAAATGTATTTTTGGAGCGGCGTGTCCGTCAATCAGCGTTTCCCAGCAAAACTGGCTGCACAACGTTGGGAGTAGCATTCTACAAAAGTGACGTCGGTTACAGGAACATGTTGCTGTGACGCAATCACATTTTCTTCATGCCTTCTTGCTTCCGATACTTGAGAATTCATGCGGACTTAGTGGGCATGCACTTCTCTGTCTTTGACGGGTTCCTAGTGGTTATGATGCCAGACAGGATGTGAAGAGCATCAAATCAGTTGTCGGGCATTGATTTAACCCTTTCAGGGACAGCAGTTACTACAGTGGACAACTTGTCAGGTGACAGGTTATCATTATTTGTGCATGAAACGGTTGATATGAAAATTAAGAATTTGGGGTAGAATTGCATCTTCTGGAAGGTGGATTTTTTTTTTCATAGCAACATTATTTTTAATCAATGAAGGCATTGGAGAAACCCATACACAAATATGAACAGTATGAGAGTTTCAAAGTGGAGTGAGTTTGACACGGTTGATGCTTTTCATCACGAGGAAATGCGTTTTACAGTGGGTCGAAATGTCTTAACTATTTTTAATGTTGATTCATGCTCCCATCAGTTACAGTAAAAACACTGAGGTAATTCAATTGTTAGGTAATAATTGTCAAGAAGGATTCTTTCTCATGAAGTGGGAGGATGTTCAGTAATCCACACTTGGTAGTTAAACATTCGGATTCAAGATTTGGACAGTACGGATGTGAAAGGCCCCCAAATGGATATAGTTGATGCCCACTAGTTAGAAAATCTGCATATAATTGACAAATTCTATTTGTTTACAACCCTTCAAAAATCTTTTTTAAAAATGCTGATCATTTTAATGTGTTTTCCACAAAAACCACACGAACATTTTAAAATAATATTCCACCCTCCCCGCCCAAAAAATGGACGATGCCATTTTGTCTTTTTTTTTTCTCGAAAAAAAATCTGATTATTTTGTATTTATTAATAACATTGTAGGGATATTAATCATATGTATAAGGATGCTAAGGATTTTAGTCGTGTTTAAAAAAAAAAAGTCAAAATACGACATGGGCCGTTTAAAGATGGTGATTGGGGGGGGGGTCCGCGAGGGTCAAACAGCCAGTACGCGGGGGTCGACTGTCTCTTCACGTGGTGCGTGTTGACGTCATCCAAAGAGTCACGTGGTCTGGTTTAATAACATCGTGTTTTGCCTTCTGGACTGCAACTTTGGCAAGCCTCCGAGGGAGAGTTTTGATGCAAGTCCAGTCTGCGCGTTGTCCACCCCCAGCTGAGCAAAGTGGAAGTCGACCGGACCGCAATTTTGTCGAGCTAGCTCGCACTTCGTTCAGGTCGTTTTCCGGCCAAACACTGTGGATTAAAGAGTGTCAGAAACGAACAAAGATGCCGTCATAAATTGTCATCACGAAATTTATAAGTGGTAAGTTGTCTTGATTAGTTTGCTATGTTTTTTGTTTTGTTTTTGTTTTTTGTTTGTTTGGGTTTTGTTTTTTTTTTTGTTTTGTTTTTGTTTTTTGTTTGTTTGGGGTTTTTTACACTTGACAACGGTCTAATTTCTGGATGAGCACCTTGTATGTATGTCTATTGAAAGCCAAATATTTACACTTGACAACGGTCTAATTTCTGGATGAGCACTTTGTATGTATGTCTATTGAAAGCCAAATATTTGTGTGTGTGATGTTGGCAATGGCAAAGGTGACCTCTGCTGCACGTGAAAGTCGTAAATAGTCGATACCAAATTTACGGCAGATAGCCAACGACTTTATGAAAATGTCAGGAAAAAGACGTTTTTTAACTTTTGAATTGAGGAGTGAAATCTGGTTTCGAGTGAAAGAATGCAAATAGCGTTTTTTTTTAACGTCGGTTTTTACATTTTTTTTCTTAATCCCCTTTTAACTTTTGAATTGAGGAGTGAAATCTGGTTTCGAATGAAACAGTGCAAATAGCGTTTTTTTTGAACGTCGGTTTTACATCTTTTTTTTCTTCATCCCCACTGTGTGAATGAATACCAATAATAGGAATTTACTCTGGCCAACGACTTTAATTCTACAAATGTATAATTTTGATGATTTTGTTAAACGATAAACGTGGTGTTTTTTTTTACTCCTATCATGACGTTAATAGTAATTTTGCAATGGCTAGGTTACATTACAACTCACTGTAACATGACTTCTTTCTCGCAACATTCTTTGCAATATTTTCTGACTTTTCTTGTACTGAGATATTTTTTTCTCCACACCGCTGTGAGATGAATGAGACACATTTTTTTCCACCTGTAATGTTATCCTTAACGTGACAATTGACTTGATGTTTTTTTTTTTAGGAAACGGCTGAAATAAAAAGAGGTTGCACATCTGTGCATACTCTCAAAACTGGCATGTGGCTCTGTCCGGAATTCAGCATTTAAATTCAAGCTCAGCAATTTCTCGTTGGTTTTAGCGCCTTTCTTGCAGAACGTGTGAATTTTTGAAATGAGATTTATTTATTTAATCACTAATACCTGGCATTTGATGAGGGCTGTGTAGACTTTTTTATATCCACCTAATTTATAACATCAACATATTGAGTGATTCAACAGTGGTGTTTTTTTTTTTGTTTGTTGTTTTGTTTTTTTTTTGTCACCATCTGCCATGCTTTTAAAAAAACATCACAGTTAAATCCACAGGATTAGATGGTGTTTTTCTTTTTTTTTTTTTTTTTTTTTAAACGGGACACATTTGTCTGCTGTCGTCATCTTATCTTTTATGTGGGGGTTATCACGGTGCAGCCAGCTGTTTATCAGTAGCCCGCACTGCACTCACGCCGCAGCTGACGTAAGGCCGAGTTCTTGTCAATTGTCCCAGCACCGAGCACACCTCGTGGCACTTCCGTTGGACCCGAGCGAATTGCACATCAGCCACACGCTGACAGAGACTCACACGTAATGTCATTGTGGTTCCCCAGTGTGCTATCGCTTGGCATCTGGCAATATTGATTAAGCGCGGGGGGTGGGGGGGGTGTTACATTTTTCAAACTCATTCATCTCTACTTTTAAGGCAGCCTTGCTGTAGTTTACTTGAACAAATTTGTCTTTTATTTGCAGAAACTGTAACACCGTGTTCCAAACTTGACGCCACCCTTTAAACATGACGACGGGCGGTTGTCACCAGCCCGACACCCTTTGTCACTGTGCAAATGACACCCACGTTCAAACGAGCGTGGAGGAAGAAGGAGGCAGCAATGGCGGAGAAGGCAGCGAGTGGCCGGCACACTGCGCCGGCCAGGTCACAACAGTTGACGGACACTCGCCGTCATCCGTCATCAAAACCCTGCCAAGGTTTGTTTGAGTACCAAAACACCCTTGGACACGTTCAGGTTTATTAACTGTAGGCAGTGTTTTGGTTACATTTGAACATTCTTACAGTCCTATCCTATCGGTGTGAAAATGAATCAAGATACATCTTTATTTATATAGCGCTTTCACAACAGCTGTAACAAAGCGCTTTACAGAACAGTCAACATAAAATAACAAAATAATATCACACAACACAACATAAGACACGGACAGTCATGCAATCGTAACCACTATTCCTGGATGCACTTTGTTAAGCAGTTCTAGATGAAAGAGGAGAGGATCTAAGTGTCTATTCACCAGTTGATCAGAGACATCTTGCTGAAAATGTGCACATGTCTGCTACAAGCTAAGTTTCAAAGTAAACATGAAGCTGTAGTGTCTTTTGATGGAAAAAAAAGAGATTGGTTCGCTTTACTTCTCCCGTCCCATTGTAAATCCGCTTCAATTCCGAGCGGCGACTCTCGGTTCCAAATGCGCATCCGCGCCGACGCTCCTCTATTCTCGTCCTCGGCTCCACCAGCCATCCATCCAACCGGACCAACGCAGACTGTCCAACAGCGCCGACATCTCCGCTGAACAAAACGGGACTGTGAAAAACGCTGCCCATTCGAGGCGCGAAAAAACTCAAGCGCCCCGGGGCTGTTGCGCATATAATTGAATTAAGGATGAATAAATGAAAACTACTCACAACTACTATACAAGACTACAAAACAAAAATGAAGGACAAAAATGCGGCCTTTGAGGACAGCACTCATTTCAAATCCGTGTCACGCTTTTCCTCTGCCGTCGGTCGCATCGTAGCATCAAGCCAAAATAAAAAAAGGAAAAGGGGACTAGTTCACCCTCGCAGTGTCCTTTTGATTGATCGCCGTGCTGCCCGCGCGCTTGTGTGCAGCGATGGTCCCATTTGTCGCATCTGCCACGAGGGAGGCTGCGCCGAAGTCCTGCTGTCCCCGTGCGACTGCACCGGCACGCTGGCCACGGTGCACAAGAGCTGCCTGGAGCTCTGGCTGGCCTCCTCCAACACCAACTGCTGCGAGCTGTGCAACGCCCGCTTCAGCATCCAACGCAGACTGCGGCCTTTCACGGAGGTAAACATTCGGGGCCCGAAAAAAAAAAATAGTCGTCTTATTTATGCTTAGTATGCCGGATAATTACGATCGAGGAGACTTCACGTGAAGGCGGTAAATCTGAATGACACCCACACACAGTGGCTGCAAGATCCGGGCTCATATGAGGAGAGGAGGTTGGTGTTCTGCGACATCGTCTGCTTCCTGTTCGTCACGCCACTGGCCACCATTTCGGGCTGGTTGTGCCTGAAGGGCGTCAAGGACGATCTTCAGCTTGGCAGCCTGCTGCAGAATACGGGGCTCATCTCGCTCACGCTCGTCCTCTTTACCATCTACAGCCTCTGGACCATGGTAACCACCATCCTCATCCTCACTACGCTCACTTTCAGACTGCTCGCTAAAGATCAATTTTTAATACCGATTTTTTTTTTTTGGGTGGAAATAACCTTTGCATGTTTGCAGTGATGCATTTTCCTTTTTTTGGATTTGTTTTTTTGCCCTTTGAATAAAAAACATACCTATTTGCTGATTTTTTTTTGGGGGGGGCGGACATAATCCTTTCATATTTGTAGTGAGGCATTTGCCTCTTCGTGGATTTTTTTTTTGCCCATTTAATAAAAAACACCTATTAGATTTTTTCTGGGGGGGCAGACATAAACCTTGCATATTTGCAGTGAGGCATTTGCCTTTTCATGGATTTTTTTTGCCCATTCAATAAAAAACATTTGATTTTTTTTTTTGGGGGGGGGTCGGACATAACCCTTGCATATTTGCAGTGAGGCATTTTCCTTTTTGTGGCTTTTTTTGCCCATTTAATAAAAAACACCTATTAGATTTTTTTTGGGGGGGGCGGACATAACCCTTGCACATATGCGGTGAGGCATTTGCCTTTTTGTGGAATTTTTTTGCCTATTCAATAAAAAAACACACCTATTTGATTATTTGGGGTGGGGGGCAGACAAAACCCTTACAGATTTGCAGTGAGGCATTTGCCTTTTCGTGGATTTTTTTTTTCCCCATTCAATTAAAAAAACAAAAAAACACCCATTTGCTAATTTATTTATTTCTTTTTGGGTGCTCAGGCTAATGCAGTAACACGATTCAAAAACAGGACAGTATTTTGAATTGCCACAATGACAATGCCGTGCGCGTGTATGTGTGCGCAGGTGTGCCTCCGCTTCCACTGTAAGCTGTACTCGGAGTGGAGAAGAAAGGACCAGAAAGTGCACCTGATCATCCCCAAAGCCAAGGAGGTCGTTTGTTCCCAGCATGCCTTGCTTTCCACCACCTCCATCCACATGCCCTCTGACGATAGTCTCGTATGAGAGCCAAAGAGGAGGGGGGGATGCTTTCTTTTTACCCTTGTTTTTTTTTTTTTTTTAGTTCACTTGCGAGGTTGGTTGACTTTGACATGAGCAGAGGCCACGCAAAAGTCGAACACTGTGGACAGTCAATGCAGGGTGAGAGATACATTGAACCCATTCGAGGCTGCTTGAAGGTTGGGACGCCTTCAAATGTGAAAATAACCTTGATATTTTTCATACTTACAATGGCAAAACGTATTTGCCATTTCCAGCGTTCCAGTGTAGATTCTGTCAAGATTTCAACCAAATTTGAACCTCCTCAACTAGACAGATGATGCAAAGTTGCACTGAAGTTGAGTTTTTGTTTTTTTGTGCGGTGGCAAAATTTGATGACCTGACCGTCATAAAAAGACACTTAGAGGTGATGCGCCGATATTTTGCATGTGTTCAATCAAATCTTTTTTTTTTTTTTAAGGTGTGTCTGTTGTGAGAACTATAAAGTCAACCATTTTGCTTTAAGGCAGCCATTTGAGGAGCATTTTTGGCTTTTTTCAAGGGGTCCTTTTTTTTTTTTTTTTGTTTCCCCAATCACAATTCTGCACAGATGCTCTTGCCGCAGGACTTCATTCGGGACACGGTTGAGTTGCGTTTTAGTCATCAAATTGTATTTAATTAGCCGACGGCCTTAAACACTTCATCGTTAGCAACAATAGTCTAGAGCTCTGTATCATTTCACGTGCTTGCTCTTCATTTATAGTACAGTGTGTTTGATTGTATTTATTTGAATTAACAATTGTTGAGTGAGCTTATGTTCTGGCTGCGTGGTTGTATTTATATTGTTGAATTGTTATTAAAACACTCCAAAATAATGTTCACGCTGTCTATAAAAGCTGGTATGTTTCCATTTTTTTTCTTCCCTCCCGCAAGTCACTGTTGTGTACAAACGGCATTGGGAAGGTGGGACAAAAGCAACGCTGACATTTTTCACGCCTTCGCCTTTTGGCGAGAAGCCCGGCTTTGGTATGGCACTCGAGCAAAATGCTCTTTTAATCGTTTTGTTTGTGTTTTTAACATCACCTTCGAAAGGGGTTGGGTGGGATTGTTAAGCGGGGTGGGTTGATCACTCTTAGAGGCTTAAGAGGGATTTGTTTATGCATCTGTTTAGTGTTTGTCACAACCGGAGTGATGAGATTCCACCCATCCTTTGTATCAGGAGTCAGGGAACCGTTTTTCAGATACGAAAACATTTACATGCAATCAGCATTTGGTGGGGCAAATGTTTTTGACAGTTCCGCGAGTATAATTTCTTTTGAAAATTGTACAGTATTTTAGGGAGACACTTGGGTGTGGGCTACACAAATATTTTTCATTCTTGGTGGCAGGGAGGCAACTTTGTTGTTGCTCTTATTATTTTTTTTTTGTGGGGGGGGAATAGTTTTAAATATATATATTTTATTAAATATATATTTTAAAATCTCATGTACCCCCAAACATGCCTTCACACACCCCCATTCGAGAACCAAACCACTGCTTTAGACAACCGCAAAATTAATTCTGAGTGATTAGGTTGCTTTTTAAGTGTTTAATTTTTTTTAATTGTTAAACTACTGTTTGGTTCAGTATTTTTTTGTCGTCATTTTGGTTCCGCTTATTTAATTTCCTTGAAAAACGTTTCTAAAAATTATTTCTCTCTAATTTGTTTTAATTTTGTAATTTATTTTTCAAAGGTTGTTTCCTTTTTTTTTTTTTTTTTTTTAATAATCTACATTTTTTTATGAACTACTATTTTTAAAAATCCATTTTTTTCTTCCAACCACCAGAACATCAGGCACATTTGCCATCATCCATTTTAAGTTCACTCAATTTTTTTTAGATTTTTAATATTTCGTTTTGGGGTTTGTGGTCTTTTTTAAATTTATAATTGTCTAGTTTTTTTTTTTTCATTTTAAAAATAATTTATTTAGATTAAATAACATCTTTTGTCTAGTTACTAAATGTTAGTACTGTATTTCACAGTTGGCCCCCAATAAAGTTTGACATCGAGGTGATTCATTTGCATTTCAGTGATTTTATTGTAAATCAGTCTTGAAAACTTAAACAACAAAAAGTGACAACTCTAAGCAATAAGTGTTCAAATAAATACATAACGAGAATGTTTATAAATATATTTGGCATGACGCAAAAGGACACAGGGAGGGAGCCACTAATACTGCTTGACTGCCATTCGAATGCGCTGCGCTGAAATGCACGGTTCAGTCGACATTCGTGTTTCTTCAATGACAGGAGGGAAAAAAAAAGTGCTCGTTCCAGGCGACCTCATAGTGGAGGATGAGGATGAAGGTCTATGATAATTGATGAAGGTCACAGGTTCTGACAGCACTGCACTCTGGGCCCCTTATGGCCATCGCTGGTTGGCGGCACGCTTATGTCCACCACATTGTTGCCTGGCGACTCGTCGTGCGCGCAGCGCTCGGCCATCTGCTTCTGGGAGACAATGCGGTAGATTTCTGCGGTCCGACAAAAACAAAGAAGAAGAAAAAAAATTGACTTGTGGCTCCATTTGAATGAATAATGATGCAACGAAAGGTGAAGCCAAACATTTACCAATTTCTTTTTAACCATTCGGCTGCAAATGTTCTGAATTGCAGAGAGTAGCGAGCGGGCACCTTTGAGGTAAGGAATCTATTTCCAAGCTATAGTATTTTTTTTTTTAACTTTTTTTAAAAATGTATCTTTTAGATTTTCCTAAATTAATGTCAGGGGGTGTTCACGAAAAGTGCCAACAATACGTTTCATTAGGTAAGGTGTTTATTGTCTTTAACTTTTTTTTTTTTTTCTGGTCAAGTGTATTTCCATTTTATTGTGTCTTTTCAAGACAGGTCTATTTTTCATAGTGATTTTGCATTTCAAAAGCATGTTAAATATCGGTGTTAAATTATTGCATAATCGTCAATTATCAGCGGATTTTCGCTAGGCATTCCCTATGCCCGTGATTAGCCAGTGAGGCTCAGGAAAATGGAAGATGAGAAAATGTTGAGCTAATATGAACAAACTAGAGCTTTGCGTGTGTCGACCTGTTAATATGTTCTTGAAGGCCTCTTCGACATTTGTGGAGTCCAGCGCTGATGTCTCAATAAACGACAGCGTATTCTTTTCTAAACAGGAAAAACATTCAAAGTCGTCAATTACTTTCCAACTACAGCAGCAATTTTTGGGGTGAGGCATGAGGATGTAACTTTACCGGCGAAGGCCCGCGCCTCGTCGGTGGGCACGGCCCTGAGGTGTCGCAGGTCGCTCTTGTTCCCCACCAGCATGATGACGATGTTGTTGTCGGCGTGGTCCCTCAGCTCCTTCAGCCAGCGCGCCACGTTCTCGTACGTCATGTGCTTGGCGATATCGTACACCAGCAGAGCGCCCACCGCGCCCCGGTAGTACCTAAGGCCGGTAAACACGGTCAGCTCCTTCGCTCGTATCCAAAATGCAACAAGCCAAGCCGGGGGGGAGGAAGGACACTCACGCCGAGGTGATGGCTCGGTAGCGTTCCTGTCCGGCCGTGTCCCAAATCTGAGCCTTGATGGTCTTGCTGTCCACCTGCAGGCTGCGGGTGGCGAACTCCACCCCGATGGTGCTTTTGCTTTCCAGGTTGAACTCATTTCTGGTGAAGCGCGACAGCAGGTTGCTCTTGCCCACCCCAGAGTCTCCGATCAGCACAACTGCGAAAGTAAAAATAAAAATTGGATATTGTGTTTGCTGTGGTCACTTCAGTCATGTCTAGTAGAAAAACAAAAATCTGCTTTGGCGCCATCTGGTGGCATCTTGATGTCAAGGAACCATGGTGGAACGAGACAGAGGAAGTTCATTTAATGAGGCCATTGCTTTGTCAAGCACACACATAGTGCAGAAAAGAAAACTACTGTTACTGCATATATATACTGTATATAAATGCTACCTCGTGTCAGAAAGCTTGGTCTCAGGTTGATGACCCAAAACACCCAAGAATGGCTAAGTGCAAAGCATTGGACTATACGCTGAAGTGGCCATCTAAAAATATTGTTGCATGTCTGTGGAAGGAGCTGAAACATGCTGTCCATCGCAGTTTTCTCATGACAAGTCTGCCAAAAATGCTCGTTTGATTGAATGCCTCAAAAGATTGTGCTGCAAAGTCTGAAGGGAAGATCTCTTTTATTAGTGTTTCACTTTATTTTTATGTCAATCAGCATCAATCTAAAATCAAACTGTCAAAAATAATCGATTTTATTTGTGCATTTTAAAGTAAATGTTGGTGAAGGACAATTCAAAAGCAATGTCTGATTTATATTGGGTAATTTTCTTTTGTCAGTTTCAGATTATTTCAGCGGGGAAAATGCAATTTGATTATTTAAAAAAAAATCGTTCAGACACATAATAGACAAATAAATCATTAGTGTGGAAAATTACCACCTATTCGCAATCTCAAACTGTTTTGCACTCGAAATGATCTAACTGGCAGAAAAAGTCAAGAGAAAATCTCCCTTCAGCTTTCTTCTACCTCAGGCAACACTGTGGTTATCAGGAGTAAGTACGTCCACTTACTACAAAAACAAACTCGTCAAACTTGTTGCTGTTGAGAGTCTACTGATTTTGGCCTGTTTTTGCCTTCCGAATTCCACATTGGTTCAGTTATTGAATAGACAAATAAAGTTTTGGGGAATTGAATCAGTGTTAGCATTTAGCTTGCTGGGCTGTATCACAACATCCAGTGTAAAATGCTAAAATATGAACGACACACTGTAGTTCAATGCAAACACAATGACTTACGAAGTTAGTCGTCGGGTATATCATGTTAGAACGAGATGACATGTTTGACCATAGCGTTAAAGAGGTCGTGAAAAAAACGGAGCGGCTAGTTGCCATTAGCTTGCGCCACCAACAGCTGCCTGATGCTAGTTAGCACGCATGCTAATCGCCTGATGTCGCTAATCGAGCCACGTAAAAAGAAGCAGTTCTTTTGTTACTGTTTGTGTGTTTGTTTTTTTTTACCTTTGAATAAGAAATCATATTCGTCATCCCTGTTCGCCATACTGTCATTGATGGTCTGTCCGTCTGTCAGTCCGTTTTTCAATCAGTTGCGCAAGGACGTAGCAGAGTGACGTCACAGTTTCGTCACCGGCCGGAAACATGAGGTGATACATTGTCACATGACATTCCGACGACAGCGGAAAAGCTCTCCGTCATCAACGTATTCTCCGTTTGCAATCTGGAAACATCAACGTATGATGAAAAGGACCATTGAGAAATTGTTGAAGTGTTTAAAAAAAAAATTAATCCCCAACAAAAAAACATGACTTTTATTGTTAAAATGCTGAACTAAAATAATAATTTTTAAAAATTGACAAAATAAATGCACATTGAAAATAAAAACTAAATAGTGAATTAAAAATTAAGAAGGAGATTTGGAAGAAAATATCAATGTTCATCACCCAGAACTGGTTGCCAGCTAATCGCAAGGCACACATACACAAACGACCATTTGCGCTCACACTCACACCTAGGGACAACCTATTAACCTGCCATGCATTCAGATTCAGATTCAGATTCAGATTCAGAAAACTTTATTTATCCCCGTGGGACAAGTTTGCATGTTTTTGGAATGAGAGAGCAAACCAGAATACCCAGAGAAAACCCACACGTGCACGGGGAGAACATGCAAACTCTACACAGGAAGGCCAGACCGGGAATCGAAAAATGTTGAAATGTGCTACAGCAACCTGTTATTAAATATTATGATACAATGATCATAAAACACTTTGTACAAACTCACTAAAATGTGCAACAATTTGTCGAAGCAATTCTTACTGTATAACCATACATACTGTGCACAACCATTCGTTTTCATTTAATTTATGTTTGTGTGAAAAGTATGGTTTCAGAAATTAGATAAGCATTACAATGTCTATTGTTGCTGGCTCACTGGAGTGAAAAAAGCGAGTAAATCCAGTTGCACTTGCTCTGCAACTTTGTGACATCAGGTGCTTTCCTCGTTTTGGAAAGAAAGTTGTGGGATGTGTCTACACACATACACACGTCCCGTGGACCAATCGCAAGTCAAAGAGCAAACTATATCTTTGCCTCACTCGAGCGCCAGGCTCTTAGTCAGAACGAGGACATGCTTTTGTGTTGATGTGTGAGTAAGGTGCAGAAGAGTCAACATTTACCATGAACAGGAGACAAGGGCGGCCCTTCAGCATGGTGCCACATTGCTATTATGAAGGCTATCTGGAGAAGAGGTCCTTTAAAGACAAGGTAAGGTGAATGGGATGAATGACCCAAGTGAGGATAAGCGGGTCAGAAAATGCATGGGTGGAATTAACATATAAATTGGAGATGCTTCATTTTGCTGTGATTTCAAGCCCATTGGTCCATTTGATGCAATCTTTGTATTCTTTTTTAAAAAAATGTAAGTTGTTGGTTTTTAACTCATCCATCCATTTCCAACACCGCTCATCCTTAAAGAGGGTCGCGGGGAGTTGCTGGAGCCTATCGCAGTTGACTTTGGGCGGGAGGCAGACTACACGCTGAACTGGTCACCAGCCAGTCACAGGGCACATAGAGAGACAAACGACCATTCACACCCACATTCACACCGTCAATGAGCGGTAACCGATCCCACGCTGCCCACACACACACACACACACACACACACACACACACACACACACAAGTCAGGCGAGTGTGCTACTACACCATCAGGGACTGTTTTTTTAAATCAATGCATGTGAAACTATTGTATTTTATGTTTTCCAATGTATGCATTTTTTTTCCAAAATGAAAATGGTTGATGATGACATATAAACAACGTTTCTTTGGATAACAACGGTTCATTTTGTCATGATTTCAAACCAATGGTCCAATTTGAGTAAATCACAGAATTGTAAAGGAAAAAAAAAAAAAGAAAACAACAACACCATTTCACATTATTGATTTGATAAATGATGTTGTCCGAATGTATGCATGCGTGCAAAAACTGTATTTGCTTTGAAAAGTCTCATTGAAGCATCATTTCTGAGTGGTCGTAATACTCCAAATATTGGTTAAATTGCTGTCTGATGGCATTCATAATGCCATTGTAAGAATCTTTATCAGGCTTGATGAATTTTTTTTTTAAGTCTAACTTTTTTAATGACAAAAACGGACTTAGCCCACTAAAGTCCCCATGTGGGTTGTTGGCACAAATGTGTTACAGTATATGTGTTCTTTGGCTTTTCATGTTTTTTCTTTGGTTTTTCTATTGGGTGAGTGTGTGAGACGAAACCACAGAAGAGTAGCAACAGAGGGGACGGTAGTGCAGGAAGAGGAAACTGGATTGCAATACGCATCAAAACAATAAGAGTAATGCAATTACAGGACAGCAAATGCAATTAAATGTCAATTATCTACCCACATTAATACTGACTAATGTGCAAATGGCCAGGGAAACGTGCCAGCAAAATGGGGCCTTTGTATGGACCGTTACATGTCAGAGACTTTAAAGTGGCGAATCTAAAGCAAAATCTCCAACAATTCAAAACTCGACAAAGTTCAGACCTGAATCCAATTAAGAATCAGTGGAAAGATCTGAAAACTCCTGTTCACAAACGCTCTCTCTCCATCAACTGTACCTGGGCCGGAGCTGTTTGTAGTCTCTCAATGTGCAAAACTGATAGAGACACATCCCAAAAGACTTGCAGATGTAATGGCAGAAAAATGTGGCCAAATGTGAAAAAGTTCAAGGGGGCTAATACTTTCGTAAGACTTTGTAAATAGTGTATACTGCACAGAAACACAACTCACACATCGTGCTGTAAAACTGGTCCAACAATTTTGTCTCGTAATGAGACATGACACTTATCCAAGATAAGATGGCACTTTAAATTTTGTAACCACATAATGACATGCGTGACACTATCAGTGGAAACATTTTGCGCAGTTCATGATAATGACACATAATTCACGACCCATCTTCCTCCGACACTCATCATTATTTTAGTGTACCAAGTTGGCTCGTTCGTTTATGGGAATTTTCGTTGTGTGATATCCATCATCGCTTATCTATCTCCTTCCGGCTGCCACTGTAGAAATCTCGCAAACTGTGGACTTGTCTGTGCGGCAACACGCTTTACTTCTTCAACGACAAGAGGGACACTGATGTAAGTAACATGGATTTAAACTTATTTCAAACTGTACATGACCAGCGAGTGTAACATTAAATCCTTCATCATCTTTCTGAGTGTTTTCTGTAATCAAGGTACAATCTTGCTAAATGTTAGCATTGCAGGTCATCACAATAATTGATAACTAGCTAGATAAAGGGTTAATCTTTTGCAAATATCTGCTTTTACTTTGAAAAAACAGCGATCAACATTTTTGCCTATTTTCTGACCAAAATCAGAAACTGTCAAGATGTAAAATCCTCCTCAATTTGCCTGTAGCGTGTTGAAATTGCACTGTTAGCATGTTAGCCTGAATGTTGAACTGTGTTTTGACAGTACATTGAAAAAATGGATCTCACCGGGCCCATCACGATAACAGACGACAATACTGTGGATTACAATTTGGACGCAGCCAAACTGAACCTCCAGACCAAAGACAGCGACATCAAATTCTCTGTGAGGAAAATACTGCACTAGAATACGTAAATGCAATCGATCCATACGCATGAACGTCCATTTCACAATAAATCGTTTTTTTTCCAGGCTCCGAATGCAGAAGCTCGAGAGCTGTGGAAGGGCTTCATTCAATCTGTGTCTGAGGTTTGCTTCATTTCTCACTCGTATTATTGATATTCTAGATCAAAGGTGTCAAACTCAAGGCCCCTGGGGCCAGATCTGGCCCGCCACATCATTTAATGTGGCCCGCGAAACCAAATCAAACATGTCAACTGACATGATGCTTGCTAAAAATCTGGACCAAAATTCATATTCTCATTCGTAATAAATAACAGCGATATTGTAAGCATTTTCTTGTTGCCCAAACCCCTCATTACAGTAACTTAAATTGTTGAATAAACCGTTATTCTTGACTTGTTTATATGATTTCAGTCATAACGGGCCTCCAAGGGAAACGATAACTAAAACGTGGCCCGTGACAAAAATGGGTTTGACACTCCTGTTCTAGATGATGGATTACAGTATTGTTTGAAGTGTGACATGAAGTTGAGGTGTCATGTATATGTTGCAGCTGTCGGTGCCGTCGATGCTGAACCTGTTGCCAGGCCAGATGCTTATGCTCGAAGAAGTGGTGAAAAAGGAGAAAGAGAGACTCCGAAATGTCCAACAATCTTCTCCCAGTATTGATGTGGAGCCCGCAAAGGAAATGCCAGAGTGAGTCTTCATATTGACCACATGAAAACGAAAGGGCGTATGATAGATATATGATTTTCTTTAGGTCGTAGGTGTTATACTGTATAGGGCGTGTGTCTACTTACGTATTGCAATTGAAACTTCCAGCCAAAATGTTTTGTATGTAACAACTGGAGTGCTTTAACAGGAACTGCTGCCTAAACTTGTTTTTGTATGCGCCGTAATGTTTTGCTACATCCCGGTTAAGTTAAAAAGTGACGTGAAAACCAGGGTTACAATAGTTTGGGATTTGTCATTATAAAATATATATATATTTTTTTATTTCGGTTGGAATTTTGTTGTTCTTAAGGGGTTTTTTTTTCAGTTTTTCGAGCAGGTTAGTTTGTTTTAATTTGTTTGTCTGTTTTCAAAATTGCTTCATTTTAGCTGAGCGTTTATTAATTTTAGTATTAGTTTGAGGTTTAATGGTGGAGTCTTTGAGCGCAAGTTTCAAAAGAAAACAGACCACTAGGTCTTGTGTAATAAATCGAAGTAAACTAAATTCTCAAACAACCGTTTGACCTTTCTTCTTTTATACGGCCATACACACCAAAATAAATGCATCTAAAAACCTGACGTGTGATAACAGACACAGATGAAAACAAAGGACATTTTATCTCTAAATATAGATTTTTTTTTTGGCAAACGTTTGGTTAACATTTGATCCATTCTCATTAGCCACTTTGAAATAGTATTTCACAACCGAATATTACATGATCTCACGTCATAAATTGCTGTTTCGCTCGTCAGCCTGCCAACTGCTAGCATGTTAGCCTTTGACAACATCATAACCTTGTTGTGGTCCGTCACATAGCTGTTTCCACCCGGTGTCCCGCACGGAGGCAGAGCTTCTGCTGGAGCGTCAGTCCAGCCGGGGAAACCTGCTGTTGAGGCCCAACAGGAATTGCACCGGCTTCGCAATCAGCACCAGGGAAGAGATGAATGGGTACGCATGCACGTATACACGAACCGCACTCGCTACATATGTACCAAAGGGAATCATTGCACTACAATGACATCTGCACGGATCTCTATTTTATTCTTATTATTGTGATTGTTAATATTTATTATTTATTTGTTAAACTCTTGTCTGTGTGTTGTCTTACCATCAGGCCCATCTTCAAACATTACCTCGTGAGCCGCAAGCAAGACAACGGCTTCACCATCGAAGTGGACACTCCTGTGAGTAGATCGGCGTCGTTGCTGAAACCTGGCGTCAGATCAGAAGCACTTAATTACGGGAGAGAAATGAATGGCATGTTTTGTTTTTTTGTTTTGTTTTTTTATCCATTGTCTGCGATGGGTGTTGCACCACATGCCAAAGTATACACAATGAAAGGCGAAAGTAACTTCTACAATTAATAAGGGCAAGGCAAGGCAGCTTTATATATAGAACAACCCTTTCATGCACCCTGTAACCTGATAACATGATAAACTGTCCACTGTAGCAACCGCTGTCCTTGAAAGGGGTTTTAAATAAACGTTGTGTGTTTGTGTGTGTGTGTGTGTGCAGGTTGCGTGTGCCTCGTTGCACGACGTTGTCGTTTACTTCTCGGAAGCGACAGAAGGAGCTCTGATTCCTCTGGCTCGGGAGGAAACATATGAGCAAAATATCTGTAAGGACTTTTTTTAGTCTTTTCTTTGTTGTGTCGTTCTCATAAATATGACGTTTTATTTATTCTTTTTTTTTGTGTGTGTGTAGCTTACATTGGCTTGGATAATGAAAATGGAGAGAAGAGGGTGCGCGGAGCCTCCATGCACCTTACGCTGCCAACGCAACAGCCCAAACCAGGTACAAACACACATAGGTCCCATTAGAACAAGTAAAAACGGTTACAAAACGTTTCCCCAAAAAATTGTTATAGCTGGAGTTTTTTTTTTTAGTTTTTTTTTTTAACTAAAACAAAGTGTGAAAGTAGTCCATAACACATTAATTTGATTATTTCCACAAATGTCAAAGTAAAGCATTTCATTGTATATGCTGATTATATTTATAGAAACGATCAGAAGACATTTCATTTAAAGAAAAAAAAAAACAGAAGAAAAAAACTACTGTGGTTTTACATGTTCTTCGAATCGATTCATGTGTTGAGCAATAAAGCAGGTTCAAAAAAAGTGCGTTGCATTTTCATGTAAGAATAGCTCTGGAAAAAAAGAAAAAAAGCAAGAGCCTTAGAAATATTAAAAAAAAACACTGGACATTGATGGAGAAGATGATCACATTATAAATAGAAAAAATAATTAATATTGTTGGGCAAAAACAACAGAGAAACAAAATGCAAATATTTGGCTCGGTAAAACTTTCCACTCAATTGTGTGAAAAAAAAACACTGACGAGGCCAATTGTTGCGATTGTGTTTCCAGTCAAAGGCTTGTCATTGACTGACACCTTTGTTTGTTTTTTTTTTCCACAGCTTTGCCAAGAGTGCCGAGTGAAGACGGGGAGGAAAATGTCTACGTGAATAACAGTCGTGAGTATTTATCCTCGTGTGGTTCTCTTCAGCAGGCGTCTTCATTTTTGTACTCTTATTAACTCACCGTTGTCATGCTTCACAGATCACAAAGATTTCCCGGTGGAGCGCTTGCTAGGTGAGTCTCTTTTATTTTTTAATTGTAATTTTTTTAAACTATTTCCATTGGCTGGCCTTTGAAAATGGAGATACATTCCTGGCAACATCTCCCAAATTGTACGCTGCCGTCAGACAGAATCCTCGTACCTCCAAAATCATCTTTTTTTTTTTTTAACACAATTTGTAAATATAACATCCACACGTGTGGGCTGACCAATAATACTGATAAAAATATGCAACTTACCTGATTGTAACTTCGGAGGATTCGGCCTGACGCCGGCATTATCATGGTGTAGATTTGCACATGTGCCAGTAAAGTTTTGCAGCAAAACAAATCATGTCAAAAACGGTTCTGAATGATGGACGGATGGATGGAAATAATTGAAAAGGGATTAGATAGATTGATAGAGAGAGACAGAGAGAGAAAGAGAAAACAGATGTCTAAGTGCATGCGATTTGCTGTCTGCGCAGAGCCCGACAACAAAACGGCCGGGAAATCGCAGAAAACTCCGACGCCCGCCCCTCGCAAATTCCCGCCGTCTCCCTCGCCGGCCGCCGCCAGCAGGTCTACACACACCAGGGAGCCGAGGTGGAGGACCCACCCGGACCCCCACGTCCAGAGTACGTACGCACTCTCTTTTGATGGGAATCTAAACGCAAGGCGCGTCAGAGCTCACAGGGCCCAATTAATAATAAGTTTGTGTTTGAGTGGTATAGTGCAGCCGCATTTCCATCTTGGGTTCAAGGAAATTTTAGGTTCTTGGCACTCGCAGGCCAAGTGGCACTCAAGGTTCCTGGAACTCTTAAAAGTACTAACCCTGAGCAATGATTTCTTTTGGCACCAATAAATGACCCCAGAACCGGAATCTTGAACGCACCATAAGAATAATAGAGAAGATTTTGTATTTGAATGACTGCTCAGTATGAGAATGTGTGGATTGACTGTTAATGTCCTTGCCCCTGCAGCCATATCGGAACTCCGGCAGAGGTTCGAGAAGAAGGCCAAGTGTGCCGACTGAACCGTGCGCCAGTGCCGCAACCAATCAATGTGAACGTCTTTTGACGACATGTCTGTCGCCATGACGCCCTGCTGCACTTTCCTTCCTTCCCTTGGACACTCTGTTGCAAATGTGCTGAGGACATTTAGCATTTCGGTGGGCCACTGTCAACGTCCCTTGCATGTCTACAAGCTGCTGGCAGTCCGGTTTTGACATGAATTGTACATAATGTGACTGTGACAGTGGGCACAGAGGTAAATAGAGCCCAAATGTGATTTGACTATGGTTTTCTACTGAATGTATATTATTGGACTTGACGTCAATAAACATTAATAATATTATGACACTGTGTGTTAATTTTATTTCATTTTTGACATTTTTTTTGTGGTTGTTATATGGAAAATATGGATTTGTGACAGAAGATTAAAAAAAAAACATTTTAATCCACATCCGTACTAAAAGATTGTGATATTTACATTGACTACTTTGTCCAAATAGAGAAAAAAAATTTGAGGCAGGCCTAACCCTGATAAAATAAAAATAAAAACAAAAAGAAAGAAATAATTGCAATGTATAAAAAAAAAAAACGAGGCTTCAAAATCAAGTCATTGTCGGGCTTTTCCACACCGTGACAACGAGTTGCTCTCAGTCTTGCCAGCGAAAAACTATCCCCAAGTTGACTGTCAAGATTCCTTTTTTCGAGGTATAAAAATAGCTAGCTTGCTAATGACATGTTGCAACTCTGGCTGATACCCGCTGATGTGACAAAAGAACTTGTGCGCCAAAAAAAAAAACCATAAATCAAGCTGAAGGAGCAAAGCACAGGGTAATTACAGACTTATCTCTGCCAAGTAGGTTTTCATCAACTTCAGCAGATGGGTGAAGCAATGGAGAAACAAGGGAATTTTAATTTCATTTTCGACTGACGTGACGAATACAGTGGCGTGTTCAGTGTTACCATTTCACACTTCTTTGTCATTCTTTTGTTCCAGCAAAAGTTGTCTTACCTCTTTAGTACCTGATAGATGATAGATTAGAGAGAGAGAGAGAGAGAGAGAGAGAGTAAAAAAGAGAGTTAACAACCCTGATCAGGGACACCACCACAGCTGGGCTAAGGGTGCTATAGCCCCATCAGAAATCTGCGTAGTGCCATTTAAGCCCTACAGCGTTTTATTTTATGTGTTAAAATACATTTATGAACCATTTTATCAGCCCGCCGCACCGATTGGTCAAGCCCCGCTCTAGCACCGCTTCAGAGAAAAAAAAAGTCCTGGAGCCGGACTTAACCCTGATCTTTTTAAAAAAAAAATCTCTATGTATATAAAACGAGGCTTCAAAATCAGTCGTCGACGGACTTTTCCACACCGTGACAGACAATGAGATGCTCTAATGCAGCCTTGTCAACGAAAAACTTCAAGTATCCACAAGTTGACTGTCAAGATTCCTTTTTTCGAGGTGTAAAAATAGGCAGCTTGATAACGGCGTGTTGTAACTCTGACTGATACCCGCTGAGGTGACATAAGAACTTGTGTGCCGAGATCGATACTGTAAGTAGGATAGGTAGGTGGGTAGGTGTGTGTGTGAGAGAGAGAGAGAAAGAGAGAGTTCAAACACAATCCAAATGTTGCTAGTTCTGGGGTAAAATGGCGGTCACATGTCCACTTAAACAAGTGGAACTTTCAATTTTTGGCACTTCTGTCAAAAATAATAATATTTCAAAGTATGTAAGCCCTGGCTTTTGAAAGGTGGTTGTGGATTTGGGTTGAATGTCTAAAATGTCTGTTATTGCTGTCTGGCCAATGTCAAATTTTTGATGAAAACTCACTCTCATTTAACAGTTATGGATGTAACTGCGTGTTTTGTGGACCAATATGTGCTGGCATTAAAAAAACAATATTGAACAAACATTTTCCTTCACTGAGAAAATTTGTTTGCACTCTTTGGGATTTTACCTCAAATTTAAACAGCTGAATTTAAAGTAGAATGGAGGAGAGGCATACCTCTGTAAGGTTATAGCTAATTTTTGGTTTGACAGCCTGCAGGGTGAAGCAAAATTAGATTCCCCAAAATTTCATGATTGTTTGTAATGAGGCGTGAACAATGGACTGTGGAATTTCTCAGTAATTATTTCCACGACTGTTAATGATTCAATACTGATATTGCAGATTGCAGAAGCTTCTCTCTCTCTCTCTCTCTCTCTCTCTCTCTCTTTTACATTGTTCAGCCTTGGCAGATTCTTATATTTAAAAAAAAAAACCATAAATCAAGCTGAAGGAGCAAAGCACAGGGTAATTACAGACTTATCTCTGACAAGTAGGTTTTCATCAACTTCAGCAGATGGGTGAAGCAATGGAGAAACAAGGGAATTTTAATTTCATTTTCGACTGACGTGACGAATACAGTGGCGTGTTCAGTGTTACCCTTTCACACTTCTTTGTCATTCTTTTGTTCCAGCAAAAGTTGTCTTACCTCTTTAGTACCTGATAGATGATAGATTAATATGAAAAATGTTTTTACATTACAGCAGGGGTGCCAAATTCATTTTTGTCATGGGCCACATTTTAGTTACCATTTCAGTGGTTCACTCAAACCAAATTTTAATAAGTCAATAATAACAATTTATTCAACTATTGTTTGTTACTATAATGAGGGGTTTGGCATACAAAAAAAAAGTCCTGGAGCCGGACTTAACCCTGATCTTTTTAAAAAAAAAATCTCTATGTATATAAAACGAGGCTTCAAAATCAGTCGTCGACGGACTTTTCCACACCGTGACAGACAATGAGATGCTCTAATGCAGCCTTGTCAACGAAAAACTTCAAGTATCCACAAGTTGACTGTCAAGATTCCTTTTTTCGAGGTGTAAAAATAGGCAGCTTGATAACGGCGTGTTGTAACTCTGACTGATACCCGCTGAGGTGACATAAGAACTTGTGTGCCGAGATCGATACTGTAAGTAGGATAGGTAGGTGGGTAGGTGTGTGTGTGTGAGAGAGAGAGAGAAAGAGAGAGTTCAAACACAATCCAAATGTTGCTAGTTCTGGGGTAAAATGGCGGTCACATGTCCACTTAAACAAGTGGAACTTTCAATTTTTGGCACTTCTGTCAAAAATAATAATATTTCAAAGTATGTAAGCCCTGGCTTTTGAAAGGTGGTTGTGGATTTGGGTTGAATGTCTAAAATGTCTGTTATTGCTGTATGGCCAATGTCAAATTTTTGATGAAAACTCACTCTCATTTAACAGTTATGGATGTAACTGCGTGTTTTGTGGACCAATATGTGCTGGCATTAAAAAAACAATATTGAACAAACATTTTCCTTCACTGAGAAAATTTGTTTGCACTCTTTGGGATTTTACCTCAAATTTAAACAGCTGAATTTAAAGTAGAATGGAGGAGAGGCATACCTCTGTAAGGTTATAGCTAATTTTTGGTTTGACAGCCTGCAGGGTGAAGCAAAATTAGATTCCCCAAAATTTCATGATTGTTTGTAATGAGGCGTGAACAATGGACTGTGGAATTTCTCAGTAATTATTTCCACGACTGTTAATGATTCAATACTGATATTGCAGATTGCAGAAGCTTCTCTCTCTCTCTCTCTCTCTCTCTCTCTCTCTTTTACATTGTTCAGCCTTGGCAGATTCTTATATTAAAAAAAAAAAACCATAAATCAAGCTGAAGGAGCAAAGCACAGGGTAATTACAGACTTATCTCTGCCAAGTAGGTTTTCATCAACTTCAGCAGATGGGTGAAGCAATGGAGAAACAAGGGAATTTTAATTTCATTTTCGACTGACGTGACGAATACAGTGGCCTGTTCAGTGTTACCCTTTCACACTTCTTTGTCATTCTTTTGTTCCAGCAAAAGTTGTCTTACCTCTTTAGTACCTGATAGATGATAGATTAATATGAAAAATGTTTTTACATTACAGCAGGGGTGTCAAACTCATTTTTGTCGTGGGCCACATTTTAGTTACCATTTCAGTGGTTCACTCAAACCAAATTTTAATAAGTCAATAATAACAATTTATTCAACTATTGTTTGTTACTATAATGAGGGGTTTGGCATACCTGTCAACTCATACGGTTTAGCCATATTTCATACGGATTTTGTGGTGAATCTTACGTATATGGCCATATCGCACAAATCATACGGATTCTGAAAATTTCGTTTTTTTTTTTTTTCCCCCCTAACAGGTAGTTCTGTTTGCTTTTGCCCAGAATGGTGCTAGTCTACTCGAATGCTTTCATTTCCGGTAACTTTCCAGTAAATCACGTGGTTTCTAGTTGAAAACAGCAGAGTATTCATTGCATACTTCGGTAGTGTACAAGCAAGTTCTACAAGGAAACAAATGTATCATTCATATTTCGTGGGTTTTTTTCTGCCGTTATTTTGACATATAAAATGCTTTGGTATGTTATAAGGATTTTTTTGGTAGTTTATACAGGTTGGCACTCCGAAAAGTTGACAGGTATGGGTTTGGTTACAAGAAAATTCTTATAATATGTCTCTGATTTATTACATATGAGAAGTTTCAATGTTGGTAGAGAATTTAGCAAGCATCACAGGAGTTGACATGTTTGATTTGCTTTCGCGGGCCACATAAAATGATGTAGCGGGCCAGATCTCCCCCCCGGGCCTTGAGTTTGACACCTGTGCATTACGGAGTGTAGCATTTGGTTAACATGCACCTTTAATTTTCGTTTAATATTTTTCACCATCCGTCGGATCCGATCACTTGTTCCAACACAATTCTTTCATTCTTTTTAGTCCCTCACGAGTTGATAATTGGATAGTATGAAAAATAGGATTTAGACTTCAGCGTGTTATATTTGGTTAGCACATTTGTTTGCAGCGTTAATCACTATTTCCTATTTTTACTCTGTCGGTCGCAACTCCTGTTCTCACAGGTGCTTTCTCTCTCCTTAACGATCTGACTGATTGATACCATCATAAAAAAATGGGTGTGACATTTGGCTAGCGTTGGCACTTTCGGCTTTATCATGTCATATTTTTTTTCTATCGGTGACATTACTTTGTCCAACAATGTGCTCTCACCCCTTTAATTCCCTGTTGATTGGTGATACATTAATATGAATTTTTTTGTTTTAATTTTACCGTATCATGTGTGACATTTGGTTGCCATGTGTGCTAGCTGTAACGATTATTCAATTGCAACCGACTCCATTCGTATTTTGTTCAAAGTGTTCTAAATTCTTTACCTCACTGATTGGTGATATGAAGAAAATACTTGCAGTTTTAAGTACAGCATGTGACACTTGATTACCTGTGTGGTTGCAGCTTTAAATGTGATATATTTTTAGTTCTATGGCTCGCACTCAATCGTGCTCTTTTTAACCCGATTGATGCGCGCACACAGCAAAACGTGACAGCATGTGTGCTGAGTGCTTGCAGCTTTAATTGTATAATTATCTCATTGAATATATATCTTTTATCTATTTCATCACTTATGCAATTGTAATGGCGAGGCGAAACAAAAGTGATCTCACTCCTTTATTCCCTCACTGAATGGTGACTGGTTAATATGTAAAAAAAAAACAGCAACTATTTACAGAATGTGGTGCGGCATTTGGGTAGCGTGTCGACGAAACAAAAATATTCCCAGCGGAGTGCTTCTTCAAAGCATCTACACGCACATTTTTCCAAGCCCAAAACTGAAAGGGCCGGCAACGAGGAAGCAAAGCGGAGGTAATCGTGCGCCCTCACACACTCAAGACAATCGCACACACAAATTCCAAGAGTGTATTCGGCGCTTGCCAATCGGCTAAAGTCGTTCACAAACAGAGTGCTTAATACATGCAGACAGACCCTTTCCATTGAAAGGGAATAAAAAATGTGCTTATTGGAAGCAGGAATGAGGTTTAGTGAGGTTACTGGTCTCTATTTGCGCATCCCTTCTTGAAATGAGCAGACAGACCCTTTCCATTGAAAGGGAATAAAAAATATGTGCTTATTGGAAGCAAGAATGAGGTTTAGTGAGGTTACTGGTTCTCTATTTGCGCATCCCTTCTTGAAATGACATCCAGTGTACAAGTCCTCAGACAAACCACGATTCTAAAAGAAAACAATTGCAATAATGACAAGAAATGAGGTTGAATGTTATCATCGAAAAGCCCCTTTTCACTACTGGCATTTTCCCACCTTTTCCCCATACTGCCGTTTTGTATAAAAAGTAATAAACATGGACTAGGGTGATGGGTGATGAAGTCCACTTGTCAATTATCCACGTGATGCATCAAGTTTACCACCTGAGACTCAGTCTTTCTGGCTTGCTGCGCTGAAAAGTTACTGCTGACAGACATGTACAGTTATGCCTTGAGATACAAGTGACTGGAGTTGACACTCGCAGCTGAAATTTTGTGTCAAACCAAACATAAAACAAGAAGAATTGCACTTTTTGTGTTGAAAACAAGCACCAATTTTAACCTTTCAGTCCGCTAGCTTAATGCTAAATAGCAACAACGTTGTAGTAATGTAACCCTCGAAACATTGGACTGAACACGAACGGTGCAGACAGACAATATACCAATACAGTCATATATTCTTTATCTTTCACATAGAACGTCTCAACGAACAGTATATTAATTAGTCTGTCTTAGACTGCTCCCAGGTGGCCAGACCAGAAAGAGCAACACAATGGCCATTCAATAGATGGAATGTGACAAAAAAAATGTTCATTCTATTCAATGGTATCATTATGAAGTGCCTCTTATGCCTGCCTGTAACGTTTTAGAAAGTATAATATTAAGGAGTGCTCGCTTTCCTCATTAAAATATATGTTACACTAATTTGATTTTTTTTCTGATGAATGGCATTTCCATTTCCTCTCATTTCAATGGGAAAACATGAATTGAGAAACACGTGTTTTGAGAATCAATTAAACTTGTATCTCAAGGCACTATTGTATAACATATGTCACACCAGTTGCTGCCGCAGTGTGAAGGCAGCAACATACCACTTTCGCTGTGTTCCGTGTGAATGCCAAAAAGGAGATAAATGCAGTCTGTTTTATTTGGGAGAATTTCACAGGCTCTCTGTGTAAAAGCGGTGAGTGTCTGATATTGGTATTCGTCCAAAAAATGGAAATGAACTGACTCTTGTTGATTACAGAGGTGCAGCAATATTGCTGGGTTCTGTATAAAAGTCAAAGGCAGCCAAATGCCGGGATTTTCACTTATAGTTATTTTGCAGGCTCTCAGTGTAAAAGAGGTTAGTCCGAGACTACGGAGAACACAAAATTAAAGCAGTGACTGTTGTTGACAAAGTTGCGCGAATATAGCTGGGTGCCGTGCAAAAGTTAATTACAGATGAATCCATGTGTTAGGTTTTGACTCGTCTGGCAGGCTCTGCAAGTAAATGTCACTCAGGAGAATCTTTTTCTGATCATTGGAAAAAAAACAAAACTCAAAAAGCATCAATGGCAGATGACTCTTAAAGCTGTGGAGCCAATTAGGCAATTTTGCAGGCTCTTTGTGTAAAAGCAGTGACTTCTGTTGTTTTTGAGAGTTGCAGCAATGTCCATCGAAGTTAAAGAAGAATAAATACTCAGGTCAAATTTTGCAGGATCTGGAAAAGTAGTAACTGTCTGATACTTTGCCAACCCCAAATGATTTGATGAGAAGCATTGATTTGTTAATGGGTTCTGTGTAAAAACCAAAGGTGGATAAATTCCAGGGTCGGATGTTGCGGGAGCGCTGCACGAAAGAGGTGAATGACTGATGGGATAGTGTTTAAAAAAATAAAAATAAAAAAATAAATAACATAAAAATTGATGATCAGAATCAGGAACTATGTTGTTGTCGACAATCAAGTTGGGGAAATATCACTGGGTTCTCTGTAGAAGTCAAAGGTGGAAAAATGCCAAGTCACATTTTCAGGAACTCTTTGTAAAAGAGGCTTTTGACTCAATATTAAAGAATGTTGGAAAAATGCCAAGTCACATTTTCAGGAACTCTTTGTAAAAGAGGCTTTTGACTCAATATTAAAGAATGTTTGAAAAAGTGGCAACCTGCAGAGCTCCAAAAAGAGCCTAAGCTATCTTAAGTACGATTCAAAGTTAGAGTTATTGACTGTGATATCAGCGCTACGTTGTATCCGTTAGCGTGTTTTTAATTTGGATTAAATAAGACTAGGCGCGTAAGTAACAATAAGCTACGCGTTACTATTAACACAAGAAACATTGACAAATGCTTTAACGTGAAATGGGGAGGGGCATCTCTCTCTCTCAGCGGCGATGTGGAAATGAGAAGAAAGGCACAGGGAGAGAGCGACGGAGGGCTTTACGAAAAAGGGCAGCGGCCAGCGCTAAATCATGGGACGGACTTGGACCTGCAAGAAGAGCAAAGAAAGCGCCTGTGAGGCGTGGGTGCGGCATGTCGATGCCAACTCTTCTGCCGTGGCGGGTCGAGGGACGGCTGAATAACACCGCCGGCGACTGCAGTCATGCAGGGGGGCGTTGATGGTGGGCTGGAGGAGTGAGGGACGGACGGTCTAGGTGAGGCTGGCATTGGAGCTGCTGGTGCCGCTGTTCTTCCTCTGACCGCTCTGCACCACGCTCGGGACCTGCAGGCCCGTCACCACCGAGAAGCTCCCGTTCCACACCTGCCGACGAGTACAAGCAGAGATCGCGTGAGCCCTTGGAGGTGAGAGATTGGAGACATGCGGTTTCCCCATCGTTTCTCACCATGAACGCCGGGATGAGCGGCTGCTGGAACTTGGTCCTGAAGGTGTGCATCAGCTGCTTGGTTTTGGCGTTGAAGAAGGACAGCACGCCTTGGCAGCCATTACGAGTATATAAAAGTGGTGGGGGGGGGGGAGAACATTTGAAACAGAATAGACTCAAACGATATCGATTAACGAGTTTTAATCTGATACATTTCCCCTAATCGTCATTTTTACTCCCAAATAAATCTGAAGAAACTGTTTGTTCACGTTATACCTGAACCGTGCAGCACAAAGAGGAAGAACAGAATGAACATTTATGGAATTTACGATGCTCGTAAGTGCTGCTGATTCTGCTTCTCACATAACGTCTGCAACAGCGACTGACGACAAAAAATGACAACAGTAATTAATGCCTGTGGCGGTGATGACGACGATCATGCCAAGACGCCTGCGGTTGTATTTAAAGGAATGCTTTTCATACTTTGAATAAAGTGGCTTTAGTGCTTATCCAAAGTGACAGATGTATTGGCATTCAGAAATTCCCTGTCCAACCTGAAGTGGAGTAGCACCTCGTCTAAGCATGACAGCGCTCTTCATTGTTATGAAGGTCAAAAGAGCATTTAAAGAGGGTTTTTTTTCCTGAAACTATGAATATATCTCGTGTTAAAATGTTACTTGAAACATTGCCTGTATGCTTTGTAAAGATTTTAGGATGCAATACTTTGACTCTGGAAAGAATAATTCATTCCATTCCAAATGAAGGCTCCTACATTTTATGGCAAATTAAATTTAAAGACTTTTTAAATTGTATTTAAAATCAAATTTAAGACCAACTTCATCATGCAATAATTGGTAAATTATTTTTTAAATGTCTAATTACACCCCTCACGCTTTAACATTGCAATTTAATTTGCCATCATTTTGGAAAGATCCCCTTGTCGTGTATTTTCATCATTTTCATCAATTAAATATTAGATTGATTACGCATACATGTTTTGGTTTTATAGGTTAGCCTTACACTATAGGTAAAGGAACCATAAATGAAGAAGTAGGAAAATGGTTTATCCAATTCAATTGGTTGTTTTAACTTACAAAACACTGACTTGCAGTCTTTCATTAAAAGTTCACTAAAATAAAATTACACCTCACGAGTGTGGGATAAGCATAAATCAGGAAGTCATAAACCACATTAGAACAAAGCAAACCTATCTGTGGTTTGATCACTTCAACTTTTCGTGTGTCGTGAACCCATGACACATAAACATGTGGACTGCAATGAAGTTGCTGTATCTATACACTATGTAAAAAATATGTTTTTATAACGTCTACTGACCAAAATGATGTTTTTTAATTTTTTTTTTATTTCTTTCTGAACTGCAACCGTTGCGATTTGAAAATTGCATTCTACTATATCGCGATGTCTATTTGAATTTGAATGAATCGTTCAGCCCTATTTACAATAATTAAATCCTACATGGCGCATTCACATTTTTAAAAAACTTTTTAAAGATTGCTTGAAGCCATTTGAGTGCCAAATAAGGCCTTGTTGTTTGATTCATGGATTTAATGCCTTCCGCATAAAATTCCACGTAAAAGCACCTTCATCGTAGTTACAGTAGACTCCTATACTGCTCGGGATGGGGCAGTCTAGCGTACGGGCCTTGTTGTTGTGCTTGGCGGTGAGACTCTGCTGGAGCCAGTTGTTCAGATGGATGCACCAGGAGGCACTGCTTTTCCCCAGCTGGTCGAAGCGGCCCAGGCTCCGCACGGCCACGCCCACGGCGAAAGCCTTACTCTCTTTGTCGAAGCGCACCTCCCAGTATTGCTGGCCGGCGTCTATGGCTGTGTCAGCTACGGGTAAAAAGTGATCCCAATGTCAGCGTTAATCACGTCAACCCTGTTTCGCAGATTTCTTTGGGCCTTACCCAGCACCGTGTAGGACTCTGCTGTGAAGCGGTCTCTGTTGGGCCGGGCCGTCGGGGCTCGCTTTGGCGACATCAGCGCCGACCTGTTGACACAGGAGACACAATGGTGGCTTTGATTAAATGCTCTCATGGTTGACCGAGAGGATCAATTCCACCTATTGAAAGCAGAATCATTTTGATGCTCCTTTTTCCAGTTCCAGCCAACTTGGCGTCGCAGTCAGGAATATTATTTGTTACGCAAGAGCTTTCCCTATAGTTAACGAAGTGGAACTGACATTTAAACACTGCAAGACAGCACATACAAATGGAATGGTAGACAGTTTTACAGCATGTTTTACAACGTGAAATAAGGGGGCTCTGCGGCTTCGTCCTCGTGACACGCCCTCGTGTCCCCTAATGGGACCCCCACTGAGTGGTTGACACTCTGTGTTGGCCCCACTTTGGGCCCCTGACTAATAAGTCCCTTCAGTGGGGGGGTCTCCTGAGAACACGTTTTTGCTTACCATTGTCCCAGCAAAGCACTGATTAATCATTCATTACTGTGCTATCAGCACTGCCCCCTGGCGGTCATTCAGGACTCAACTGTAGTCCATCCATCCATTTTCCGATCCGCTTAATGCCTTCCGCATAAAATTCCACATAAAAGCACCTTCACGGGGGGTGTCCTCCGCCTATCCCAGCCATCTTCGGGCAGTAGGCGGAGGACACCCTGAACCGGTTGCCAGCCAATCGCAGGGCACACAGAGACGAACAACCATTTGCGCTCACACTCACACCTAGGGACAATTAGAGTGTTCAATCAGCCTGCCAGGCATGTTTTTGGAATGTCGGGGGAAACCGGAGTACTCGGAGAAAACCCACGCAGGCCCGGGAAGAACATGCAAACGCCACATAGGGAGGCGGAGCTGGAATTGAACCCGGTACCTCTGCACTGTGAGGTCGACGCGCTCACCACTCGACCAACGGGCCGCGTTCAAGTGTAGATACATGCTTGATTGTTGTTTTAGTGGTGACATCTGCCTAACTATCTCTACACCGTGCTGCAAGTGTTTTCATTTGGGATTGGGTGGCTCGGTACGCTACGCAAGGGACTATCTGTTCTGATGAACCATTTTCGGTATGCAATTTACATCACACTGAGACGGTGTCTGTTTCTTTTTGCGCATTGAAATGTTGCAATTCATGGAGAACAAAAGAAGCCATAAGCTATTTTTTAATTACGTAGATGAGATTTAACTAAGGATATAGGCTTTCAGGTAAGTCCCTTAGACGTCAACACTGTCATGTGTAGGTGACTATGACATGTGGCCAGTGTGTGGAATGAAGGCCTCGTACATTCCACTCACCACAAAATATCTTGCCAAATATTGTGTTGTTGTTGTTGTGCGTCGAGCATTCCTTTTGGGCTAGCATAGGCTGCTGTTACCTGCCAAACTTGCATCAACCTGCTTCTTCCAGGGATTTCCCAACTTTTCAAGTTCAAGATTCAAAACGAATTTAAAAACTCATCCATGAAACACAAAAAAATGACTTACAAAAAAATCTGAGACAAAATCAATGCAGATAATTTCTTTCGCTTGCGTGTAACATTTCAGCACAGTAGTGAGCTCCCGCTTATTTGTGGGTCACTCGCCCGCAATTCAACGATTGCCGTTTGTTTTTTTCATCTACTCGCCAAAAAAAAAACCCTGTTTAACAAAAACATAGTACCGGTAATTAATCTCAAGTATGTTTTTGGCAGACATTTAAGACCACACCTGGCTGGAGACTGCATGGGCGAGTTGGTTCGGGTCTTCTCTTTGCGAATATCCTGGATCTTTCCACCGGTGCCATCCCACTCCACGTTCAGGTCCTCTATCTTCAAGTTCTGGTGGGCCGAGGCCGAGTCCAGTTTAAAGGTGAAGGCTGTGGGGGGATAAACAAAAGGGAGTTAGTCGAGAGTCGAAGCATGTGCTTTTCAGGAGCCCCGTCGCACTCACCGTGGGTTTCCAGCGTAACGGGCTCTGAGAAATCTCCCGCCACAGCCTTGTTACATGCCCTCACCCTGAACGTCATGAAGCGGGTGTCAAAGCGCAGACCTGACGACAAGAACGCACCCAAAATGTAACAATAATAATTTCCTTTGTGTAACCACCTAAGGTAATTGAGAGGAGTTTGTCTTTTACAATGTATTGCAAATTTCTCTCCAATTCCCACTCCCAGTCTTAACAATCCTTCGCTGACCTGTGAGCGTGTGCTCCATCTCCCGGATGCCCTCCACAACCATCCAGGGATAGTCCTCTCTGATGCGTGGCAGACCCTCGTGGTTGGTACGCCGATGCTCCAAAATGTAGTGGTCTATTTTGCTGTCGGGCTCCGCTAGTGTCCAGACGACTGTCACAGTGTTGTCACACACCTGGCACTCGGACAGCTGGATCTCTGGCGTGGCAGGAACTGCGACAAAAAAAAAAAAAAAAAAGATCACGGAGGACTTAAGCAGACCACCACCAAAGCTTTAAACTAACAAACAGTTATAAAAAAGAATAACTTCAACATGCATGTGATTTAGCTTTTGATTGGTAAAATTGTGTGTTTTTTTTTAATTCATTATACTACTCATTATATCATTATTTCCACCAGTGGAATTAATCCTTTGGATCTGCACTGATCTGAAGTCTCTGCGTATTTGTTTTTGGCTGAGCTCGAAATAAGTTATTCAAGGACTGTTTTATGATGTAATTTAATTGCCATGCTCCATCCACAAAAAAATAAACAAATAAATAAAAATTAAAAAAAAAAAACAAACTCAATTTAATGTAGCGCATCTATTATATGTGCCTTAAATTGGGTTGCAATTAGACAAAACCTATGACAAGTTTTTCCTTCAAGGACACCAGGAAAGTGCCAAAAATGAGCCAATATGTCACTAGATGGCGCCAAAACCCTGGGTATAGGACTGTGGTAAGAATTGGTGTGTTTAATAATTCTTATCGATTCTAAGATCTTTGCATGTCTGGGAGTGGTCAGGTTTAGCCCATATTGTTCGGGGAAGTTAGAGACAGTCTTGGCTAGATGTCTGTTAACTGAGTTGCTACTGAAAAGCTCAAGCTAATAAATTATTTAGCCTTTTAGTGCCATTTGCGGCAGGGCTTGGTCCCTGTACTAGCAGGGGCTTACTGTATTGCTGTGCAAGATCTGGACACGATTTGGAAAAAAAAGAAGGCAGACCTGGAAGAAATTTGAGACCCTGCAGCAGGGCCTTCTCCTGGCTGAAGTCCACCATCAAATGGCTCATGTTGTCACTGGCCTTGGCCTTCAGGGAGAGGCGGAAGGCTGGAGCCATCGTCACGCTGTCAACAAGAGAGGAGAATCAGAAAACATAAGGAAGACGCATGGACGCTAGCCAGGACTACCACTGAGCACATCGCCTTGATGGGCGCTGGAAGGCGGAGCTAGAAGGGAGAGCATTCATCCAGGGAGGTGGGGGGCTGGGGGGTGGGTGACACGAGACGGTACAACACCACAACAAAAAGGCTCTTGAGTGGAAAGTTACCAAAGTGCTTATTGTCTAAGAAAAGGATGACTACATGTTGGAACACATGCACGCTATCAAACGAAATGGCTGGTTATATCAGGGTAAAAAGAACAAAATGGAAGCAATGGATGGCTGTGTACAATACCTATCCTTAATGTCTTTGGCCGCCTGGAGGGGAAGAGGAGGAGAGAGGAGATACGAAGCGAAGAGACAACTGAGTTTGGAGCCAATGATTGTTGAGATCACATTTAGAACAAAACATGTCGCGGGTGGCTCGGTGACGCCAGAGAGGGGAAAAGCGTTGTCTGTTTTATGTCAGTTCACCGCAGGCCGACAGTTGCAAAAGTTACCTGTGTGAAGCCGTCCGTTCCGGAGGAGCAAAGCGTCTGATTGGCCAGCTCCAGCAGCTCCTCCGAACTCTCCAGCGCTTTGGAGCAGGCGCTCAGCTGACTCTGAGTGAAAACACAAAAATATGTTATGTTTGCTAAAAAATAGGCAGGCATTACACCAAGGGATGTGCTGTAATATAGCAATCTACATCTTCAATCAGAGTCAAACAGCAAATCGGATGAACTCATATACAGGCTTGTAAAATGTAAATGAATACTGTATGAACACTCTTCATTATGCACTCCTGTAGAACTTTCCCCAATCTGTCCTTTACTTCATTATTTACATTTCTGAGAATTTCCATTTTTACCCCGATACATTTCTCCTGACTATCTTTGATCCTGCAAAAATAAAAATCACAAGAAATTGTTCCTTTAAACAATTTAAAGGCCGCTTCTGCGGCTCACCTAACATCTACAGCAGCGAATGATGACCTGAACGACTTTAACTGTGAACTTTGTGGTGCTGACGACAAGGATAATGTTATACCCTTGTGGGCGTATAGTAAGTACCAATACCAGGGATCGTATTGGGCCGAAACTAGCTATCGGCTACTCATGGAGCCCCCCAATACCAGCCACCAATATCTAAAGCAAAAAAATAAAATAAAATATAAAATATATGGTTGGCGCTATACTTTGTTATTGTGTGAAATTAAATTTTATATATCAAAAGTACTAGAGTAGAGGTATCAGTACTCTGTGAGTACAGAAAGAGTGAATCTCCATTCTCATAGGTTTGAGCAGCTGTTCATGTTATGGCTGGTGAGTGTACATGCTTACCTGCAGCTCGTATGTGCGGCTGGCTCGTTCCTGTTTAATGCGTGTCAACATGTTCTCCTTCATCTCATCCAGAACCGAGTGGAGGGAGTTGAACTCAGACTCCAGGTCCTCCTGTACTCGGGTAGAGTTGGCCTGGTGGAGGAGGAGAAATGACTGCCCACATTCATTTCCGTGTTCATTCATCCACCACTCGTATGTCATTACCTCCAGGTTGTCCAGGCTCTGTTTGAGACTGCAGACGAAATTTGAGATCTCTTCATTCTTGGTGGCCAGCGTGTGGGTGATTTTACGCAACGACTCCTGCAGGAAAGAAAAGAGTTGCGCCCCAATTTTGCTTTATAAAACATTTTAACGTGACTAATTGTCAATCAAGTATTAACATGAATCCTTTAGGAAAAAAATAAAAGCCTCTTTAAAGACTTTGTTGACTTTAACACCGAATGCGATTAAACGTATTAATCATTGAATGTCCAAACTATTGATCATTAAAACAATGTAAACCTTAAATTCAAACGAACATATTTACAAAGTACTGTACTGTATTTGGCAGATAAACAGTCAGTGCCTATCGCGACAAGCTAACTTAGCATTCTCAGGGATTTGTCGGCGTGGACCAAAGTAGAAGCCAAACATAACGATACAGGTATATGTTTTGGGCAGGTGGAATAGGACTTGAGTGGTGAAACACTGACAACAACACTATAGCCGACTGCAATTTGCGCTCTGTAAAATTGTTACGAGTAGTGGTGAAGAAGAGCACTTTCAACATTTGCAATTTTCTTATACATCTGAAGAACTTAGATAATTACCTTGGAGAGATGGCGAGTGCTGTTTTGATAAGTCTGATGCTTTCCATTTGAGTACAATTCACGTTTTTGAAAAAAATGTTACTAAAACCAAACACATTTTCTTCACAATTGCAAAGCATTGATCTATTCTTACTATCAATGGGCAAGTACTTAAATGTAAGTACTCGTACTCGGTCTAAAAAAAGTGGTATTGTTACATCCTAACGTCAACATAATTCCTTGACTCTCCTCACTACGTTCCAATTGTCTAGGGCTTTGGTGCCATGCTGTGGCATTTTAGAGCTTGAGACGGCGTGGAACACACGGCAGATATTTCTGGTAGACATGGTGTTTTCTGTGGGAGGAGGAGACGCCCTATCGGTGTCCCCCTTTGCAACAGGAAAAATCGTGACGAGACGCATGCGTGACGAGCAAACTGCAAATAGGCAGTATTCTTATTTATGCTTGAATGAAAGTGAGTGTTTCCCAGGTTTATGGGACTGTACCTGGGACTAAAATAAACGTGTTTGATGTATTCGTGTGTCCTACTTGACGCGTTTAGGTGAGTCACGTTGCCTTGGAGGCTCCTTCGGCCATGTGATGGATATTCTTTGTCCTGATTGGCTGACGTCGCCTGACCTGAGCACCGAGGAGGCCACTTCACGGCCGGAAGGATGCGCATTCATAATTTAATCATGCAGCTGAGCAGCCATTGAAGTGGAGCAACCGCATTCAACGACAAGCCGAAGAAAAATATTGAAAAAAAACCTAGCAGCAACAAACATGACGTGTCCCCGTCAATGTAGCATCTAAAAACCGGGTAGACAGTCACTGTTGAAGACTGCGTCCATGTTGGGAGAGGCCGCCCGTTCCTGACCTATGACGCCAATTACACTTAACACAAACGATAATGGTATAAACACACTTTGAAACATAATATCGGTCACTCGTTTAAAGTTGTGGCCAACAACAAAGTCCGCCTTCTTGCCTAATTTCCTTTGTACGCTATGCCCTCAAACGTCCTCCCCCAGTCGGAAACACCTGTTCCTCCGGCTCGGGCTCACCTTCTGGTCTCCCATCTCGGCTATCCCGGACTAATGCCTCCACTACTGGCCCCGTCGAGTCGCAAAAGAGCGACGCCGGTTTCTCTTCTGGTTCCGGTCCCGCGTTCCGGGAGTTAACACCGCGGAGGTGATACTGATGCTGCCGGGGTGCGACGCATCTTTCGGACGGACACTAAGCCAGCAGCAACGCCTTTTGGGCCGCGAAGCGTAACGCGCATGCGTCACGGGTGGATTGTGGGTAGCTGTGTTTCCCTCTGCGGCTAGGCGTGATGCTACCTTCAGGGACCTTACGGGGAAAAGAGTAATTTAGAAAGGTTGTGTATCCATAAATTTGTACTCCTGTACAGTTGCTTTCGAATAGAACTCAAATAAAACTGAAGTGTCAATATAACTACTTGAGTAACTAAAAAAATAGAGTACCTAGTAACTAACTGCTAATAATTACGTCACGTATGAATGTCACAAGAGTCAAAAATACACTGCATAAATCATTTGGATTTAGTTTGAAAGAGTACATCATTTGCTTATGAAATAAACCGATGTAATTTTGTTGCTTTCCTCAGAACACGTTTTACTTTTAACACATTTTAATCATGTGCAATTGAAAATTACTTTATAGCGTAGGGCTTAGAAGATAGTTCTTAAATTCACTTTACACGTGAACCAGCACAATTTCGGCTCAAGTTCAGAAATCAAACACGCATTCATAACTACTGTGCTGATGCACCTGCCCTTTGACCAGAACTAAAAAAAAAGTTTCTCCACCAGGACGACCGCCCCATCTACAATACAATAAAGGCAAACAGTATAATAGCTGATTGTGTGGATTACGTTTTTCCCCCTTCCCCACAATTTTATGGTTGCCCTTTTGGGGCTTAAGTGCCTTCCATCAAACATGTCTATCTGCCGTGGTACAAATGACATTGGTGCCTTGATTGAATGTAAAGAGTGTGATGATACTGCCAAGTTGGTCTGAGTGGCATCTATCCCTCCTTGCAGCCTGGGATGTATTAAGGATTTAATCGGAGAAATTGTGAAAAGTTAAAAGTATCAGTGACATTCCAACAGAGCCACTGGAAACTCAACAGCACCTTACAATGAGCTTTTTGAATTACAAGTGTGGTCAACAAATGATTTAAAGACCAACGTAAAACATTTGAGGGGCAAAAAAGCTAACACAACATAGAGAAACTGTAAAATGATTTTTTTTTTTAATTCTTGGATGAGATTACTTAAGTATACATTTTTATTTACAAGTTGATATCATTTCAGTGGAAAGGGACAGATGTGGTGGACAGATGGATCAGGTTTGCTTAGCCGGTCCTTGCAGACGCAAGCTTCTGGACTTTGGTGGAACAAGGGCTTGCACACAGGCTCTGGCACACCAGTCGGATACGGCGCTGTATTCTGAGGATTAGAGGAACAATGAAGTGCGCCATCTCTACAAAGATTTAGTGCTTTAATTGTAGACTTACTTTTGGTGGATATAATTCGCATTCAAGTTGTCCCAGTTCTCTGTGCAAATTGTAATAGGTTGTTTGGCAAAAGGCGTGATGCTTGGAGAAAAACAATCATGTTCAGAACCAAATCAAAGCCACAAAGCGCACGCGTCTGGCTGCCATTAGCAAGAAGGCTATAACTCACAGCTATGTCAGAACAGCGAGGTGCGCAAGCAACAAAAGTATTCCTGGCTCCTCTAGGACACGTGGTTTCAACCAGGACAAACTTGAGCCAAGTCATCGTGCCGATTTTTGCGGCGTACTACGAAAAAGAATAAGGGGGCATCAAGGACATGGGGTGTGATGTAGGAAACTGAAAGGAAAACAGTCATCACCCCCTTTGTGACTTGTGCCACTTCCATCAGGGTGAAGTAATTCAGGTGTTTGCGCTCCCGGTTGAACTTGACCACAGCATCATTCACCACCTCCACAGCGGTCAGGTCATCAAGAGCCAATAACTCAGGGCAGCTGGGACAAATGGTCACCATCTCCTCATTGGTAAACTCTGTACAACAGGTGACATTTCAGTTGGCAGCAAAAAAAGTTAGATTGTGTGAAATTTTACATGGGTTTTTAAAAAATGATGCGTTCGAGACACCTTGGAAAAATCCAAGTCAGAGCTCAAATTCAGTTTGTAAAGAGTCTCAGAATTAAGTAAATTAATGAACTGAGGATCCACTGAATTTAGTTTCAGATTGGAGGATGGCATGTGACAAAGAGAGGTTCTGTGTTGTGACCTGGTCTGGTGGTGCATTCATGTCTTATGACTTCGGCCAGACCCCACATGACCCAAAATTCGATGCTGCACATGGCCACTACTCCCTAAATGACAACACAGTTAGCATTTCACCTACATCAGCAGCTGTAATCTCTTAGAACTAAAAGGACCATTTACCCGTTCATCCCGTCGCCAAAGCTCACATTGGTCATCAGATTTGGGGTTGGTGAAGTGACATTTTGTCTGCACAAGCTTCACGGTGACATCAATGTGGCAACCTCCTGATACCTGGATCAGGAAACACATTGTACAGGAAATGCAGGACTTACATTACCCAAAAAAACATCTCCCTCCTCTGTCAGTCACATCTTCTCACCATGGCTTCCATCAAAGGTCAAAACATATCAATTTGTGTGCGTGTATCGTTTTAAGATATTAAAAAGGCAGCATTTAAAGTCACCATCAAACTGAGCATGCCTCAGCGAGTTGTGATGTCAAAAGACAGACAGCAAGTTAGCTGCTTTGGATGTCCCAAAAATTTTTCAGAGGAAGGAGGATTAAAAAAAAAAAAAAAAAAAAGGCGAGTTTAGCTGATTGGCGACCAACTGATATAGGAACTTTGGAGCTGAAACCAATAGTGATACTGCCGGCAAAAAAAAAAAAAAAAGGCGAGTTTAGCTGATTGGCGACCAACTGATATAGGAACTTTGGAGCTGAAACCAATAGTGATACTGCCGGCAAAAAAAAAAAAAAAAGGCGAGTTTAGCTGATTGGCGACCAACTGATATAGGAACTTTGGAGCTGAAACCAATAGTGATACTGCCGGCAAAAAAAAAAAAAAAAGGCGAGTTTAGCTGATTGGCGACCAACTGATATAGGAACTTTGGAGCTGAAACCAATAGTGATACTGCCGGCAAAAAAAAAAAAAAAAGGCGAGTTTAGCTGATTGGCGACCAACTGATATAGGAACTTTGGAGCTGAAACCAATAGTGATACTGCCGGCAAAAAAAAAAAAAAAAGGCGAGTTTAGCTGATTGGCGACCAACTGATATAGGAACTTTGGAGCTGAAACCAATAGTGATACTGCCGGCAAAAAAAAAAAAAAAAGGCGAGTTTAGCTGATTGGCGACCAACTGATATAGGAACTTTGGAGCTGAAACCAATAGTGATACTGCCGGCAAAAAAAAAAAAAAAAGGCGAGTTTAGCTGATTGGCGACCAACTGATATAGGAACTTTGGAGCTGAAACCAATAGTGATACTGCCGGCAAAAAAAAAAAAAAAAGGCGAGTTTAGCTGATTGGCGACCAACTGATATAGGAACTTTGGAGCTGAAACCAATAGTGATACTGCCGGCAAAAAAAAAAAAAAAAGGCGAGTTTAGCTGATTGGCGACCAACTGATATAGGAACTTTGGAGCTGAAACCAATAGTGATACTGCCGGCAAAAAAAAAAAAAAAAGGCGAGTTTAGCTGATTGGCGACCAACTGATATAGGAACTTTGGAGCTGAAACCAATAGTGATACTGCCGGCAAAAAAAAAAAAAAAAGGCGAGTTTAGCTGATTGGCGACCAACTGATATAGGAACTTTGGAGCTGAAACCAATAGTGATACTGCCGGCAAAAAAAAAAAAAAAAGGCGAGTTTAGCTGATTGGCGACCAACTGATATAGGAACTTTGGAGCTGAAACCAATAGTGATACTGCCGGCAAAAAAAAAAAAAAAAGGCGAGTTTAGCTGATTGGCGACCAACTGATATAGGAACTTTGGAGCTGAAACCAATAGTGATACTGCCGGCAAAAAAAAAAAAAAAAGGCGAGTTTAGCTGATTGGCGACCAACTGATATAGGAACTTTGGAGCTGAAACCAATAGTGATACTGCCGGCAAAAAAAAAAAAAAAAGGCGAGTTTAGCTGATTGGCGACCAACTGATATAGGAACTTTGGAGCTGAAACCAATAGTGATACTGCCGGCAAAAAAAAAAAAAAAAGGCGAGTTTAGCTGATTGGCGACCAACTGATATAGGAACTTTGGAGCTGAAACCAATAGTGATACTGCCGGCAAAAAAAAAAAAAAAAGGCGAGTTTAGCTGATTGGCGACCAACTGATATAGGAACTTTGGAGCTGAAACCAATAGTGATACTGCCGGCAAAAAAAAAAAAAAAAGGCGAGTTTAGCTGATTGGCGACCAACTGATATAGGAACTTTGGAGCTGAAACCAATAGTGATACTGCCGGCAAAAAAAAAAAAAAAAGGCGAGTTTAGCTGATTGGCGACCAACTGATATAGGAACTTTGGAGCTGAAACCAATAGTGATACTGCCGGCAAAAAAAAAAAAAAAAGGCGAGTTTAGCTGATTGGCGACCAACTGATATAGGAACTTTGGAGCTGGAATATAAAAACAAACATTGTGACACAGGGGGATATAAGCTGTACACGAATCCCCTAAATTGATTCTGATTCTTTCTATACATCTCTTGGTCAATCCATCCAGCCTTCTATCTTGTCTTACCTTATTTATGCATTTTTAATCTTTCATGCGACAAATACCCCTTATTAAAAAAAAACCCAAAAACTAAAACTAAGAAATTCTGACACAGGGGGATATAAACTGTACACGAATCCCCTAAATTGATTCTGATTCTTTCTATACATCTCTCGGTCAATCTATCCAGCCTTCTATCTTGTCTTACCTTATTTATGCATTTTTAATCTTTCATGCGACAAATACCCCTTATAAAAAACCCCCCAAAAACTAAAACTAATAAATTTAAATCAACACAAAGCATTTTCAAAAAAAATAAAAACTGACAAAACTCTCTCAAAAATAATAAAACTAACTGAATTTGAAAAACAAAATAAAAATAACTGTTGAAAAGCCCAAAATTAACATCTCCCTCCTCTGTCAGTCACATCTTCTCACCATGGCTTCCATCAAAGGTCAAAACATATCAATTTGTGTGCGTGTATCGTTTTAAGATATTAAAAAGGCAGCATTTAAAGTCACCATCAAACTGAGCATGCCTCAGCGAGTTGTGATGTCAAAAGACAGACAGCAAGTTAGCTGCTTTGGATGTCCCAAAAATTTTTCAGAGGAAGGAGGATTAAAAAAAAAAAAAAAAAAAAAAATTGTTTTTTGACACTGCTCAAGACAACTGCATTCTAATGCAAAGTACGAACCTTCTGATATTTGCTGCTCAGGACCTCCTGCAGCTTGAACCTGAAGCCATGCTTTTGCCTTCCATTGATGTGTTGGACACCAAGAGCCGCCGCCGCTGCCAGGCTGTCATTGTCACAGGTGACAGTTGACAATAATTGCACCGCAAGAAGGCCAGGAAGTGCTCCAGCACACCACAGCAGAACCGCAAATAGGTGAACCCCCATGATAACAGAGAAGGACAGGAAAGTAGCAAACCAGCAAAGGCGATGACTGGAAGAACAGACACACACAGCCTTTAACCAAGCTGGGGAACCCTTACATCAATCACAGACAAAGGCTTTGACACCTGCATCTAATTTGTGGCGGGAGTGCTGTCAATCACTTTTGGCTCATTTGGATCATCTGAGCAGTCAAGAAAAAAAATTGACATTAACAAAAATTGTTGGGTTTTTTTTTCTAGGAAATGTTTTTACAAATATTTTTTAAAGTGTATTTTAAAAGTAGATTTTTTTTTTTTTTTTTTTAGCAAAAGAAGGTAGAAATAATGCAGACATCAAAGGTGTCACTCCAACGACAGGGACTCCCTGAAAATATAACGTAATGAGTCGAAACATGGAAGTGTGTCTGCCATCCAAGCTCTAATATGTCAGAGGCGAGGTCACAGTGCAAGGTTGCCCTGTGGTGTTGGTATTATCAAACATGATGTCCTCCTGCGCAGTCCAGACAGATTATGTCAAATATTGTTGGAATTAATATACCTCACCAAGCATATTTTTTTGGTGCTGGGCATCTACTAGTCCAATTCACTAGTTCCAAATTATAATTTAGTCCAAGCACTGACAAGGATGATAGCCTACTCATAGCAAGGTGTGTTGGTCGTGTTGAAGCCTTCTCCTTACAGACTGTTTCAAATTGAGGTCACCACTGTCAATTTAATGCTATCCAGTATCCACCACAATAAATTTCAGAATTGACTTACTAGGGTCCACAAAAAAAGGGGAAAACAAGTTTTTTTAAAATATATATAATTTTGCTCTGATTTTCTTGGTCTGGTTCGCTGTATGTGCCACACGTCGTCCATCCCAAAATTAGCAATGCGGCCTTACAATTTATGAGTGGATATATTTACATTATTTTGGATATAGGGACAGCTTCTTCCAAGTTAGTTACAAGCAGATAATGAACATCTGTTGTGTAACTGTGGATATGTTTGACACGACAGTAATGCATACACAGTACTCGCATCTGTGTAACAACTTTGCAGTACCCACCGCAGCAACCTCAGCGTAAGTCTCTGTCACTGTTAGGTTGAGGGTGGAAAAAATATTTCACACCCACTCATGCACAGCTCATTTCGTCGTACTTGAGGGGAGTTTATACTGCAGAGAGGATGAGAAGACAACGATGAAAATGTCACTGATGCAATCAGCATTGGTGCTACTGACTGGTAAGTAAAAACAGCGATTATGAGTAATATTTATCTTGCACAATTTGTAGAAAAAGTCGAAGGGTGAAAGGTGCTCTCGTGGTTAACATGTTTGCCTAGTGGTTAGCACGTCTGCCACACAGTTCGGCGGTGTGGAGTTCGAATTTTTACTGGCTTTCCTGTGTGGCGCTTACATTTTCTGTCCATCGATTTCTCCTGGTTTTGTGACCCCAAACTATGCATGTTAAGTACTTTGAAGATTATATTGTTCATAAATGAATACGAATGATGATGCTGGTTTTCTGAGCCTTGCAGAGGTGATTCGCACTCACTACTTAAGTCGAATTAACTTGTGTAAAAACTGGTAAACTTAGTATAAAAAAGTACAGATGAAATTCATCTGTAGTCAGAAGTGCAGACTCTAAAATGTACTTAAGTGCAAAGTCAAAATTATTCCCTACCGACTTGGCAATGTGACAAAATAATAATTTCGTACAAAACAGTTTCCCTCTTTTAGCTTAAATTATGGCCATACTTGGCAAAAAATGGTTCAAACTACATGTATCGCAACTATTATGCTATCAAAATAATTTGTTCCCACATTTTTATGAATGTTGTGAACTGGCTAACAAAAAAAAAAAAAAAAGGCGAGTTTAGCTGATTGGCGACCAACTGATATAGGAACTTTGGAGCTGAAACCAATAGTGATACTGCCGGCTAAAAAAAAAAAAGACTTCCAATATATTGGCCAATATAGAATATAAAAACAAACATTGTGACACAGGGGGATATAAACTGTACACGAATCCCCTAAATTGATTCTGATTCTTTCTATACATCTCTTGGTCAATCCATCCAGCCTTCTATCTTGTCTTACCTTATTTATGCATTTTTAATCTTTCATGCGACAAATACCCCTTATTAAAAAAAAACCCAAAAACTAAAACTAAGAAATTCAAACCAACACAAAGCATTTTCAAAAAAAAAAAAAAATAAAAACTGACAAACCTCTCTCAAAAATAATAAAACTAACTAAATTTGAAAAACAAAATAAAAATAACTGTTGAAAAGCCCAAAATTAATATAACTTTAGTCTGTAGTTATTAGGACTGCAAAATAAAATAGAAAAGTTTGTAAAATAAAATAAATAAAGCTCTGCAAAATTAAACCTGACCCTTCTTTTTTCTGTTATGGCTGTACAGTTTGCGTTGCAGCAGCGGCTCAGTGTTCCGCCATTCTGAATGAATCCCAAGCAAGAGTGGACGTTCCCGTGGGTTCCTCCCTCACTTTGTGCCACCGACTGAAGAGCTGGACATCAAAGAGATTCAGAATTTGCTGGCATTTTAATCCATCTGAACCCTCGTTGGTCCACTCTGAGCAACTCTTTTGCTCCAACATGTCAAACAGAACCGAGCAAAAAGAGATATCACTGAACTATACTTTAGCCAATGTCACTCAGCAACACAGCGGATGGTACTTTTGCCGCATCCATGTGGATATTCCGGAACTGAGGACTCTGGACAGTAGTGGAACACCAGTGCTTGTTCGTAAGTGTATCCTGCTTCTGTTGATGTTTGCGGAGAGCTGTCAATTAATGCCGGTGTTTCCCAACCTTTGTTGAGCCATGGTACATATTTTACCTAAGAAAAATCTCACGTCAACCAAAATTGTCAAAAAAAACGTTGGTCCACCGGTTAGTGACAGTACAGTATGTACCTTCTAAGATCAAGTGGAGGTGGCTCCGGCATGATGTCAGGGTGCCACCTGGATACTTCCCTGGTGAGGTGTTCCAGGCATGTCCCACTGGGAAGAATCCCGAGGACGAGCCAGGACATGCTGGAGAGACTATGTCTCCCAGCTGGCTTGGGAACGCCTCGAGGTCCTCCAGGAGGAGCTGGACAATGTGGCTGGGGAGAGGGGAGTCTGGGCTTCCCTGCTTAAGCTGCTGCCACTGAGACCTGACCTCAGATAAGTGGAGGACAATGAATTGGATGGATGGATATTACAAGCTTTTCTTTTTTTGGCTTTGGGCGTTCCACTGTACATTGTCAGTCAAAAGTTTGGAAAAAGACTCAAATTCCTGTTTTTTTTCATGATTTAAAAAAAATTCTAGAATTTTAGATTAATAGTTAAGTCGGTGACATATTGAAATATTGAAAGACTTATATTTGGTTCAAAAAAATGATAATCAAAATAAAATGTTTTTATGATTTTGATTCTCCAAGTCGGACCCGTTGCCAAGACAACAGCATTGCGCATCTTCTTCTGCTATTCTCAGTCAGCTATGTGATGTGGATGTTTCTTTATGTCCTGAAATGACTTTCAGTTCACGGCTGTGCATTATCAAGAGTTACCGGTAATAGTTAGAATTTATGGGCCTCTTAATTTGTTTGAGACCATTTCAATATAAAGGTGTTTCCAAACTTTTGCCTTTTACTGTATATCAATCATTGGCATGAGCACAAAGCACTTCAATCTAGCCATGTATTTCTTGCAGAGGGTGTTTCTGTGCCTCCCACAGATGTGCCCCTGCTGGAGACGTGGTGGCTGTGGGTCACTGTTGGAGTGCTCGGCCTCATCATACCGGCACTGCTGATTCTGTGTGTGCTTCTGATACGACGATGTAGACGCAAAGGTAGCCTCATCTGCCAATTGCTAATTCCATCTTTTTGGGTCCCTGTAAAGTTAAAATAAACATCTTGTAAATTTGACACACCAATGAGAAGTAGCTCTGAGCAACCCTGCCTAATTTGAATGATTCAAAAAATGCTAAGCCGATAAATTGAGGTTTCAAAATCATGTAAGAATGAAGCTATTGTTTTAACGCTGTGGACAATGCTCCACTCGACTGTCAATCAAATACCATTATGGTATTCTACTACACTTTCTTACATTTTTGAGATGGAAAATATATCCGCTCAAGACCTCTGGAACATACTCCACCTGATTGTCATGGGGCTTATTCTTGCTAGCCACCAACTAGCTTGCAAGCTAACGAGGGCACTGAAGTTCTAGTCGGAAGAGTCCTGCCGAACTTAACAGTGTGTCACGTGCCGCCATTTTAGCTCCACCCCAAAAAAGAAAATCTGAAAAACTGACATGGTGAAAAGCAGTTAAACATAATTACTTAGAACATTGTAATTGCATATTTAAAAAAATGTCATTCACTTCACGGGGTCTTTAGGTTCTTCTTTGTCTAGTAGCTTCCTTTACATGACAAACCAGAAAGTGAGAGAGCTGGTGGTTATTGTGGTTGAACAGCACAGACAAAAAGGAACCGAGGGCTCAAGAACACAGGCATGTTGTCTGACTGTGTCACCTCAATAACAGACACGAGACCTTCAAAAAATGGACCACACGGAGTGTTTGTTTCCTTTCGGCTACATAAATTGCAGCAACCACAGGGCTTGCTTCTCCTAATGTCACAGATGTCAGTAGAAACAGTTTTCAGTATGATGATGTGCAGTTCTACAGCACAATAAAAACTAATTGTCAAAGGAAACGACCATTTGGCCCGACTTTATGGAAGTGAGCTACTACTCACCCCATCTCACTATTGCTGCTGTCGGGCGGAAGCCCCATATGTCCAAATATGGTCAGTTTTTAATTTTTTGATAAACTTGTTCGGTCCCCACACCTTGTTATTTTTAAGTACAGTATTAATAACCATATTAAAATGGCTGAAAATGGCTTGAAAACAAATTTATTCTCTTTTGATGGATGGATATTACAAGCTTTTCTTTTTTTGGCTATGAGCGTTCCACTGTACAGTGCCAGTCAAAAGTTTGGAAAAAGACTCAAATTCCTGTGTTTTTTCATGATTTTAAAAAAAATTTCTAGAATTTTAGATTAATAGTTAAGTCGGTGACATATTGAAATATTGAAAGACTTATATTTGGTTAAAAAAAAAAAGATCATCAAAATAAAATGTTTTTATGATTTTGATTCTCCAAGTCGGACCCGTTGCCAAGACAACAGCATTGCGCATCTTCTTCTGCTATTCTCAGTCAGCTATGTGATGTGGATGTTCCTTTATGACCTGGAATGACTTTCAGTTCATGGCTGTGCATTATCAAGAGTTACCGGTAATAGTTTGAATTTCTTGGCCTCTTAATTTGTTTGAGACCATTTCAACATAAAAGTGTTTCCAAACTTTTGCCTTTTACTGTATATCAATCATTGGCATGAGCACAAAGCACTTCAATCTAGCCATGTATTTCTTGCAGAGGGTGTTTCTGTGCCTCCCACAGATGTGCCCCTGCTGGAGACGTGGTGGCTGTGGGTCACTGTTGGAGTGCTCGGCCTCATCATACCGGCACTGCTGATTCTGTGTGTGCTTCTGATACGACGATGTAGACGCAAAGGTAGCCTCATCTGCCAATTGCTAATTCCATCTTTTTGGGTCCCTGTAAAGTTAAAATAAACATCTTGTAAATTTGACACACCAATGAGAAGTAGCTCTGAGCAACCCTGCCTAATTTGAATGATTAAAAAAATGCTAAGCCGATAAATTGAGGTTTCAAAATCATGTAAGAATGAAGCTATTGTTTTAACGCTGTGGACAATGGTCCACCCGACTGTCAATCAAATACCAATATGGTATTCTACTAAACTTTCTTACATGTTTGAGATGGAAAATATATTCGCTCAAGACCTTTGGAATATACTCCACCTGATCGTCATGGGGCTTATTCTTGCTATCCACCAGCTAGCTTGCAAGCTAACGAGGGCACTGAAGTTCTAGTCGGAACAGGAAGAGTCCTGCCGAACTTAACAGTGTGTCACATGCCGCCATTTTAGCTCCACCCCAAAAAAAGAAAATCTAAAAAACTGACATGGTGAAAAGCAGTTGAACATAAGTACTTAGAACATTGTAATTACATATTTAAAAAAATGCCATTCATTTCACGGGGTGTTTAAGTTCTTCTTTATCTGGTAGCTTCCTTTACCTGACAACCAGAAGCTGAGAGAGCTGGTGGTTATTGTGGTTGAACAGCACAGACAAAAAGGAACGAGGGCTTAAGAACACAGACACGTTCTCTCCTGTGCCCCCTCAATAACAGAAACGAGACCTTCAAAAAATGGACCACACGGGGTGTTTGTTTCCTTTCGGCAACATAAATTGCAGCAACCACAGGGCTTGCTTCTCCTAATGTCACAGATGTCAGTAGAAACAGTTTTCAGTATGATGATGTGCAGTTCTACAGCACAATAAAAACTAATTGTCAAAGGAAACGACCATTTGGCCCGACTTTATGGAAGTGAGCTACTACTCACCCCATCTCACTATTGCTGCTGTCGGGCGGAAGCCCCATATGTCCAAATATGGTCAGTTTTTAATTTTTTGATACACTTGTTCGGTCCCCACACCTTCTGTTATTTTTAAGTATTAATAACCATATTAAAATGACTGAAAATAGCTTGAGAACAAATCTATTCTCTTTGACACTTGAAAAGGCTGAGAAGTTTCATAAACTCCGCTTCTTGCTCACTGTACGAGAGTCGTGCGACATTATGTTGCCTCAAGATTGAAAGTCTAGAACGTTTATTTTCGACAATTGTGTGTTAAATGTATTTGAATGTATGATTCCACCGGTAAATTCATGACTGTTTTTCTCATTCATATTCCTTTAGAACCACACTGTGCAATCTACGTGAACACTCATCATTCCTCACGACCACCTGTTGTCAGGGACCAGCTCAGCGTGGCCCCCAGGTGCCAAGTGGCTCGCACTCCAAGTCCTGCCAGGGACAAGCACAGCAGCAGCAAACAGAGGTCCAGACAGTAGCCAAGATAGAGACCAAAAATTCCACACGTTTCTTTCCAATGTTATTTATATTTAATGCAGAGTTGTCATTCCAATGTGGCAATCAATGTGTAATGTCTTCTAATTCTTTTTAAGAATTGTTTTCTGAGTTTTTTCCCCACCCCCATTTTCTTTGTCGTTTTACACACAAAATGTTACACTTGTTACACGTTGTGCACTGTACATGTGGTTTGATGACATGTGTGCATATTGCAGTGTGTACAAAAACTGCCTGTGTGCACTGAGGTTTTTTTTAGCCCGTTTAAATAACGATATAAGAGAATTTAAGCTTCAATCCACGTCCACATGTGTGAGACTGTGGATGGCGGAGGAAAGCATAGATCCTTCTTCATGTCACACACATACATTAAAGTAAATCAACTGAAGCTTCTGGTTGTCAAGGCATACAACACCTCATCCAGAAATGGTATTGCAAGTTTCACCAGGAAATAACCAGCTTGTTTCCAGCCTGTAACACACACTCAAGATCGACTCAGCCATTTTTCACACTGAAAGTCATGCCTGCTAAAGGGTTCTTTAACTTCAACTCCCATTGTGCAAGTGTCATAGAACTCCATCCAAAATTCTGTTTCTTATGGACGTTTAAGATGCATGGTTTTGGAATACTAGAGGTCGCCTGAGCACTCGCAATGCAAATCCACAGCACAAAACCTGTGAGGGAGATAGCGGTATGATAACCACTTGTGCCGGATAGATGTCTAGGTATATAAGATAGATTTATTTAGGGCAAATTGAGACAACTGTTCAGTTGAAACCTTCCACTCCATCTTCTTTTCCATTCAATGTTTTGTTTATTTTTTTTCCAGCTTGACATTCACAGTCTTGACCAAAATGCACAGGCACTATACACATTGTTACATATGCAGTATATAACAAATATATTGTACTGAAATTGAAGCTCAAATTTCACCAGAGGCCACAAGAGCTGGACGAAACACATCTTTGTAAAGCGCACATGAAATCTGCAGACAAGCAAAAAGCAAATGCAGACGGCAAAACAAGCAAAATTGCAGACAAGGTCTGGTCTAGCATTGTTTACTTAGTTCAGCGAGTCCAAGTGACGATCCATCACATGCAAAACACATGATTGATATTCCGAAAGCAAATGTCCAGTCAAATGTCTTAAGACTCGATGATACAGTAGATAAGGCACATGCGCTTCACCGTCAAAAGTGTCGCTCTTTCAACAATATCGGGAGATGGGGTTCTCAAAGCAAAATTTGTTGTTTATTAATATGGCAATCTTTACACACACACCAAAAAAAAAAAAAAAATGCAATTTTTAACTTGTCACAATAGGAATACTGCATACAAAAAAAAAACCCCAAACAAACAAAACAATGTGCTTGCTAAAATTTGACTTTGTTCTTTATGCCGGTGTATATTCTCAGTCATCAGGGTCATGTTAATCCAAAAAAGTGGAATCGAGGCAATTCGTTAAATTTGTTGTGTATTTTTGAAAATGTCTAATAATAACTTAGGCAAATATGCTATTAGGCGAACGGTAGTACTGTATAGTTGTATTTACTACTGTGCCCAGTTGGAACTGTCATGAGGCACAACAGGAGCTCCTACTATAGAACGCAAGTTATCTCCGATGAAGACTTTCCATGCGAGTCCCTGCGCGACGTTAAAATTACACGAACACAGTCTTTAATGAAGATGAGCATCCCAGTAGGTTTCGACACGGTGGTCACTCCAAAATGATTCACCCTTGAGTCTTTATTCATTAAATTCCAGTTTCACTTGACGTACATAATAATGACTTTGTTTAAGATTGCATTATAATGAACGATGCCTGTTCGTGTTTTCCTCTTTACAAATTTACCGACTTGTGTTTTTCTTTTTCCTCTGGATTCTACCCCCACCAATTTCCTGAAAATCTCACTTTTTGAAATTTTCTTGTGATATTTCTTTCTAAGAGGCCAAAAGATGGGGCTAAAGGAAAGTACTCGTTCAAGTCCTTGGCCTTGGCCTTGCCTCGGAAAATTTTCCAAGTCCTTGGCCTTGGCCTCGGCCTCGGAGGCAAGTCCTTGGCCTTGGCCTCGGGTTGCCGGTCCTTGGACACATCCCTGCTAGGTATATAAAATTGAGACAACTGTTCATTGAAACCTTCCATTCCATCTTCTTTTCCATTCAATGTTTTGTTTATTTGTTTTCCAGCTTGACATTCACAGTCTTGACCAAAATGCACAGGCACTATACACATTGTTACATATGCAGTATATAACAAATATATTGTACTGAAATTGAAGCTCAAATTTCACCAGAGGCCACAAGAGCTGGACGAAACACATCTTTGTAAAGCGCACATGAAATCTGCAGACAAGCAAAAAGCAAATGCAGACGGCAAAACAAGCAAAATTGCAGACAAGGTCTGGTCCAGCGTTGTTTACTAACTTAGTTCAGCGAGTCCCAAGTGACATCCATCACATGCAAAACACATGATTGATATTCCGAAAGCAAATCTCCAATCAGATGTCTTAAGACTCGATGATACAGTAGGTAAGGCACATGCGCTTCACCGTCAAAAGTGTCGCTCTTTCAACAATTTCGGGAGATGGGGTTCTCAAAGCAAAATTTGTTATTAATATGGCAGTCTATACACACACACCCCAAAAAATTTGCAATTTTTAACTTGTCACAATAGGAATACTGTATACAAAAAAGAAAAAAACAAACAAACAAGACAATGTGCTTGCTAAAATTTGACTTTGTTCTTTATGTCGGTGTATTTTTTTCAGTAATCAGGGTCATGTTAATCCAAAAAAGGCTGAATCGAGGCAATTCGTTAAATTTGTTGTGTGTTTTTGAAAATGTCTAATAATAACTTGGGCAAATATGCTATTAGGCAAACGGTAGTATAGTTGTATTTACTACTGTGCCAAGTTGGAACTGTCGTGAGGCACAACAGGAGCTCCTACTATAGCACGCAAGTAATCTGCGATGAAGACTTTCCATGCGAGTCCCTGCGCAACGTTAAAATTACACGGACACAGTCTTTAATGAAGATGAGCATCCCAGTAGGTTTCGACACGGTGGTCACTCCAAAATGATTCACCCTTGAGTCTTTATTCATTAAATTCCAGTTTCACTTGACGTACATAATAATAACATTGTTTAAGACTGCATTATAATGAACGGTGCCTGTTCGTGTTTTCCTCTTTACAAATTTACCAATTTGTGTTTTTCTTTTTCCTCTGGATTCTACCCCAAACCAATTTCCTGAAAATTTCACTTTTTGAAATTTTCTTGTGATATTTCTTTCTAAGAGGCCACAAGATGGGGCCAAAGGAAAGTACTCGTTGGTGTCAACTAAGTACAGTATGTTGATCTGATACATCTCAACTCAGACACTAACATTGTTGTATGTTGGGGAGGAGCTAAATTTAGCTTGTGTCGATTGTGGAAATTAGGGAGAGTCTTCACCCACATGAATTTCTGGTGCATTTTTTCCCCCAAAATGAAATGATGTGTGATTTGATATTGGGGTCAGATCAGAGTATGAGCAGGGCCACAGAACAAATTAAATTCAAGGCACCACACTAAACACTTGTAGTTGAAGTTCAAAAATGTGTACTTCTGATAAAAGCATGGCTTCACTTTTATGAATTTAGGCAGGGGAGGAAAGTTGTTTGCCCGTTCTGCAAGAGAAAGCATTTTAACCTGCCAATACTTAATTTAAAGATGAAATAGAGCACTGTTGTCTTTCTTTGTTTTTGCAGGCGGCCTAAAGGGACTGGTTACAACGCTGAAGCCACATAACTGTATGATCCCTGAGGGTGTAACGGTATGTCAAAAATAATGGTTTGGCACGTTCCACTTTGTAAGTGTGAAAAAAAGATCCATATTTTGGACATTATTTTTCTTTTACAGACTGTTTCTTCCTGGATTCCTGTCATTGCATTAAATTATTCATCAACGCAGTGGTGTTTGTGTCTGGAGTATTCGCTGCACATCTTTAAAACTCGTCTCAAAACTCATTTGTATTCTTTGGCTTTTGACTCAGCATGACTCAGACTTGATCTTAGTTTTACTATTTTGTGCTTTCTACTGTCTTCATTATTAATTTATTGGTTATAATAAGAATAAGAAAACTTTTACTCGTCTCACAATGGAGACATTCCCAATTTACAGCAGCAAAGTTATGAAAGGAAGAAAGTAGAAGAACAATATTGTTGTATATATATTTGCTCCATGTACAGCACTATGTATACAGCTGTGGTTGTTTTAAAGTGCTCTATAAATACAGTTGAGTTGAGTGGAGTAAAATTAGTCGGGGAAAAAGTATCCTTGGGGAACTTCAAGTTTGAATTTGCTTCAACCTTTTATGTAATTGTTATTCTGAATGTATGTGTCGTGATTTACATCCAGCATCACGGAACAGATATCTGTATGTGTTTTACATTTAATACAGAGAAATACTTCAATTGTGCTAAATAATGCCTCGAGTGGTGTATTGTGAGAGGCTGTTTAAATGTAGCTAGAAATTGCATTTGTACCACTCAGTAATGAATATATACTGGCCAGAAACTGAGCAGCACCGTGTTTATTTACGGGTGTACTGGGAGCTAGAGCAGGAGGCACTTAGGCTGACACTTCTGGCCCCATTCTGACTATGTTACGTGTGGGAGCCCTAATCATCCCATGATAATACTTAATTGCCCCTGTATTTGATTACCATTTTCATGGCTCAGTTTGCAAAATTGAAGAAAATTTTCACGGGCCACATCAAACTACACAGGGGGCTGTATTTTGGATTCGCTTCACCAGCTGCTGATGTTGGGCGGGAATTTCCTCCTGGATATTCTGATAAAAGCATGGCTTCACTTTTATGAATTTAGGCAGGGGAGGAAAGTTGTTTGCCCGTTCTGCAAGAGAAAGTATTTTAACCTGCCAATACTTAATTTAAAGATGAAATACAGCACTGTTGTCTTTCTTTGTTTTTGCAGGCGGCCTAAAGGGACTGGTTAGAACGCTGAAGCCACATAACTGTATGATCCCTGAGGGTGTAACGGTATGTAAAAAAATAATGGTTTGGCACGTTCCACTTTGCAAGTGTGAAAAAGATCCATATTCTGGACATTATTTTTCTTTTACAGACTGTTTCTTCCTGGCTTCCTGCCATTGCATTAAATTATTCCTCAACGCAGTGTTTGTGTCTAAGTCTTGCCGTGTTTAAAAATGTGAGCAATTTGGACATCAAACAGTGTCACGAAACTGTTAGCTTTGCACAATGGATGTACAAGTGACTTTTTTTGTGCTTCTTTGGCAAGATGACTCACTGCAACTCACCAAATGCCCCAGTTGGTGATGCCTAAACACTGGATAATAGCCAGCACCAGCTGAAGAAAGAAGATGAAGAAGAAGACCATGAAGTTGAAGGAGCTATCCGCTCTGTTGAAAGAGACAGAAAAACATACATCAAATGGTGATGATGATTTTCTTTGTTTGCAATACCGTGACTGCGTGATGGTCAAATCCCTTGAATCATGTCAAATTTGGAGTTGGGAGTTAAATTCTCAGGATTTTAAAAATTACTTCTAAATGTAGGAATTTCATATGTAGAAGTGTCATAATATCAGCTGCCCAGGTGAAATCTAATTTCCGCCAACATTTAAAAAAAATGTGGAAACAGCTTCCCAGGTGAAATCTAATTTCCGCCAACATTTAAAAAAAATGTGGAAAGAAATTTTGAGTTTTTTTTTTTTAAACGGTATACAGTATTTCTTTTGGTGACAGTGTAACAACATAGATAATCGTGGAATGAACTTTGGTGCTGTTTCATCTCTAATAGGTAGCATTATTCTGAATGTATGTGTCGTGATTTACATCCAGCGTCACGGAACAGATATCTGTATGTGTTTTACGTTTAATATGGAGAAATACTTCAATTGTGCTAAATGATGCCTCTAGTGGTTCTAAAAAGATAAATACATGAAAAAAACAAGCAGTCACGCAGGAGGAACCATTCATTTTATCATTATCCATATTACAGCCTTGAACTAAAAAGGTTACCTAATTGATAAAAAGAAAACAAGAGAGGACTACGGTTTTTCCCCGCGCATCTCTAAAGGAGACAGCATAAAAAGTCTAATTAATGTACATAAACGGCTCAGAGAGTCGGTTTGGCTTCCTGTGTAACTTGTGAGAACCGTTAACCCCCAATTTACAGAAGTAAGTGTATTTGAGACGGTTTTTCTGGAAAAACGAGGCGTATATTTCAGTTAAATATGACTAAATACGCATTATAAGCGAGAGAGCGTTTACCTTCTTACGTCGATATCTGAGGGGTGGTCGGCAAATCATTCCAGATGCTCTTCCTCGACCCGCCCATTAAACTTACAACTGCGGCTGCGCGGTACTGACGTGACCGTAGTTCCGAAACGGTTACATTCAATGTGCTAAAGGGCGGGTAAAACTACAATTCCTACAATGCACGAAGAGCTAGTAAACAGGAAGCGCGTGACTCTTCACTCCGAAGCCACATAACTGTATGATCCCTGAGGGTGTAACGGTATGTCAAAAATAATGGTTTGGCACGTTCCACTTTGTAAGTGTGAAAAAAAGATCCATATTTTTACGGTGAATGACAAACACCAAATTGCGTACAGTACCTGAAAGCTTGCTAGCGAGTGCATGTTATGTTACGGTCCATGGAAGTGAGACTTTCGAAAATCATTTGATTTCATGTGAAAATACAACGTGAATAAGTAATGCTTGCATTTTAGCTTTGTGGACAGATGTCTGGGCGTCACTGGCTAAAACGTCACATATATGCGTCCAACCTTGATGACGCCACGTTAATTGTACCTCAGAAAATCGATGGCCTCGGAAAAGAAATAAATAACATGGGTTAACAATACATTCTCTGTTTTGTACAGTTGATTTTTTCATATGAAAGAGAAGAATTGGCTGTCGGTAAATGGAACTCTCGTCTCCCGCGTCCCATTCATTTTCAGTGGTACAGTACTGCAAAACAACGACATTTTTTGACGGCTTTGTCGGATGTCGCTGAAAACACGGCCAGAGTTGCTGACACAGTCACGGTCCACAGTTGTCCATTATTTTCAGAAACCGGTGAAACTCCCGTCGTGGAATCGAACCCTAAAAATATATGGATTTAGCTTTTTTATTCATATTAATTATAATTTTTTTAGACTAGCGGGGGTGCATAGAACATATATGAAAGAAAAAAATAACTTGACTCCTCCTTTAAATTAAAAGGGAATTTTGTCACATTATAAACGTGGTCCTGAATTTAATATATTAAAGTCGGAAATGTGAAAGTTCTGACCTTAAAACGTGAATTTCATTACATTATAACGTCATACAGAATGTTTTTCCATAGTATGGCAGCAATATCCTTCCTTTGATTCTTTTTCTCCTGTTTCAATATTATTTCTCAGCTTTGTTATTTTAGCTGCTGTCGCCAGAAAAACAGTACAATTAAAAAGATAAATACATGAAAAAAACAAGCAGTCATGCAGGAGGTACCATTCATCATTATCCATATTAAAGTCTTGAACTAAAAAGGTTACCTAATTGATAAAAAGAAAAAAAGAGAGGACTACGGTTTTTCCCCATGCATCTCTAAAGGAGACAGCATAAAATTCTAATGTACATAAACGGCTCAGAGAGTCGGTTTGGCTTCCTGTGTAACTTGTGAGAACCGTTAACCCCCAATTTATAGAAGTAAGTCGCCCATTA